AATGGCTCACAACACTGAGTACGGTGCAAGCATCATCTTGTGCCAAAATTTTTTGTTGTCACTTTGATACCTGGCATTGCTTTTTTTTTTTTTTTTAATAGAGGCATATTTTATTTATTTAGTTTGTTTGTTTGTTTTGTTTATACATGCACTGGGTACAGTCAGAAGCACGGGAGGGTGAGAGAATTCACCAGAGCCAGAGCGGGAGCAGAGCAGGCAGAAGGGCTGAAGCACACTGCTGAGGGAAGCAGCGGGCGGCAGGAGAGGTCTGCTCACCATGTGGGACCCTCCTTCGGTGGCCGGGGAGCAGCCGGGCATCGAACTGGCGCTGCAGAGGCTGCGGGCAGCTTCACAACCCAGCGCTCAACCGCTGCACCACCGGGGAGGCCCGCATTGCTTTTTGTATATGTGATGCTGACAGTCTGTTAATTATATTTGGAATGTAACACAACCTTTCTTGTGCACTTGTAAAGGCAGGACTGGACACAGTGCCAGTTTTCTGATCCCATGCAGACAGGGTAAAGGAGGAGTCAGAGTCCTCAGTGGTTTTGCAGGCTTTTATTGGGATTACCAGGTATACGGCAGGCAGGGGTACTGGGGGGCCTGGAGGCTGGCAGTCCTTCCAGCCCCCAGCAAATCCGCACTCTCTCTGGGCTCTCTAGCGTTCTCTGCTTCTGCTTCTTTGCTTCTCACCTATTCTAGGTACCCGCAATCAGGCATGCATTCAGGACTGCAAGGATCCATCATCTATCCTGTTGGCGGGAGGGCAGAAAAGCCTGGCATTTTTCCTTACCCTACAGCACTCCTATTTAAAATTTGAATTGAGGGCTTCCCTGGCACAGGGGTTAAAGTCTCAGCACTTTGAAGCTATCACCAGCCACTGCAGCACAAGTTAGATGCCCGGCCAGGGAGCTACCCACATGGCGCAGCAGACTTTTCCTGTAGCCCACTGCTTCCTTCAGCAGTGTATTTCAGTTGATCTGTCTATTCTGCTCTCCACTCTTACCTCCCCGTATCTCTGGCCTACGCCCCAGTTCTTATATGCATAAATAAATAAATGTTTTAAAAAATTAGAATTGAGTTTTGGCATGTACAGATTGTAGGGTAAATAAAAGGTATCAGGCTTTTCTGCCCTCCCACCATTAGGATTGATGATGGATCCTTGCAGTCCTGAATGCATGCCTGATGGCGGGCACCTGGAATAGGGTGGGGGGGGGGTGGCATAGGTAGATTGGATTCACCTGGGCTGAGACTAGGCTTATAAGGGCAGTGTCAGGGGGATGCACCAAAGGAACAGCAGAGTGAAAGAGAGGCAGAGGCCACAAGAGAACGCCAGAGAGCCCAGAGAGAGAGTGAAGACTTGCACCCCTGCCTGCCCTGTTATCGGGTAAATCCCAGTAAAAGACTTCAAAGGCCACCGAGGGCTCCTAGCATTCTCCTTTAACCCGTCTGCTTGAGTCATGTATATCCTGCACTGTCTTCCTGCCGCTAAACAGATATAAATCTTTTACTATATAAACCTTGGTCAAAATATCTTGGTATTGAGAGATAAATTTTACAAAGTTTGGGTTTTAAAACCAAGAGCTTGGGGCCTCCCCAGTGGCGCAGCGGTTGACCGCTGGGTTGCGAAGCTGCCTGCGGCCTCTGCAGCGCCGGTTCGATCCCCGGGGTTCGATCCCCGGCTGCTCCCCGGCCACCGGAGGAGGGTCCCGCATGGCGCATAGACCTCTCCTGCCTCCCGCTGCTCCCCTCAGCAGTGTACTTCGGTCCTTCTGCCTGCTCTGCTCCCCTCTCTGGCTCTGGTGAATTCTCTCACCCTCCCACGCTTCTGACTGTACCCAGTGCTTGTATAAATAAATAAATCTTTAAAAAATAAAAATAAAAAATAAATAAAACCAAGAGCTTTATAGCTGGGAAAATAATGATTTGGGAGATGTTCTGTAGGGCTTGTTTGTACTTCCCAAAACTGTAAGTATTTTTTTTACTGAGCTATCAACAAGTGACATTTTCTACGAAATCATTTTGTCTTTGTAAGTAGGTTCAAATAAAGCTGAAAACTTTTAAATATGTACCTGGATTTTTAAGTTTTAAAAAATCAGTTTTGAAACTAACAGTTATTAACATAATGGTACTGATTTTATCCAGTAGTGTGAAATTACAGTTTTCAAATCTGATTCCCATTTTCTATGAATGTGATATATGACTTCAAGATGGATTGGGACTTCTGGTCAAAATAATACAATATAGAAGTTCATGTATTAGCATCCCAATGCCCCAGAGATACATAAGAAAAAGCCAAAAAAGATGACTAAGCTTAAGAACAAGACATTATCATGAAGCAGAAATGAAACAGAAAATGATAGATGGGACTGAGCAGGCATGGATGGCTAAAGTTTGACTCCTATAGCATGATAGGAACTAAAAAAGCATTTTTTTTTTTAAGATAAAAGACTTGTATGACTTCCCTTTGAATTAAATATTAATTAAAAATTCCGGTTGCTTTGCTCACTGGAGCTAGGGTTGTAAGATATTTTCCTACAAGAGAGGCCAGTGGAGTGCAACTGAGGTAGAAATAGAAGGAATCATACTTAGCCACTATAAACAGGGAATCCATGCCAATTATACCAATTACTTGTGGCTTTAGCTGTTCTGATTAATCACGTGTCTCATCTTGAGAAATAATTATCAAGATACCTAGAAAATTTGTGTTTAGAATTTGAAAAGCACTTCTAAATAACTCATCAGTCAGAGGCATAAAGTTAGAAATAGAACTGAATAACAAAAATACTACATATACAAATTTGTGAAATGCTACTAAAGCAATTCTTGAAGAGAAATAGGTAGCTGGATGCTTATGATGACAAAGAAAAGGTAAAGATGAATAAGCTAAGCATCCATCTTAAGAATTTAGGGAGGGGGGCCTCCCTTGTAGCTCAGAGGTTAAAGTCTCAACTTTAACCTATCAAGCTATCGCCAGCCACTGTGGCATGAGTTCTGTCCCTGGCCAGGGAGCTGACCCACATGGCGCAGCATACTCTCCTTTCTCACCCACTGCTCCCCTCTGCAGTGTATTGTCTCAGTAGATCTGTCGGTTCTGTTCCCCACTCTGTCTCTGGTGAATCCACTCACCACCCCACACTTCTGGCCTACACACCAGTTCTTGTATGCATAAATAAATAATAAATCTTTAAAAAAAAATTTAAGGGGAGGTAAAAATTCAGCAAATTTGCCAAATTAAGTTGAATGTAAGAAATAATGGTAAGAGCAATTATATTTATTATTAATAACATAATAAAAATTATCAACAGAGGCAGCTCTCCTGCCTACCTATGACTGTGCAGGTGTTTTTTTCCATAAACATTTTACCCTTTGCAAAGCAGCAGCAGCTCTTTACGCTTGTTTGTGTCTGTGGAAGTGTCTTCTCTTTTCCTTTTCCTAATAAACCTGTCTTTTTGAAAAGTAAAAAAAATTAAACAAAACAATGTGTTATTCTTGGAAAAGACAAGTACAATTGAAAAATCTCAGGTAAGATTGATCCAAGAAAAAAAGTTGAATAATTAGGAATGAAAAAGTGAGATTATCATTTCAGTAACCACAGGCATTCAATATAATTATGAACAACTTTATATCCAAAGTTTGATACAAGTCTCCAGAAAAAGTTTTATACAAATCTCCAATTATCAAAGCAATGAAGGACAGAAAATGATGGTAAACCTATAATTAAGGACATTTTATCTTTTCACAAATAAAACCCTAAGCCAAGATGATTTTAATCAGTGCCTACCAAACACTCAAGGTTCAAGTCTAAGTTTATAATTACTATACCAGAATAAGGTTGATATGAGAAAGGAAAACTGCTGGCTAGTATCAGCTCCTGATCAATGCTGTAAAAATACAAAACAAAATATTCAGTGCAATTCCAATCAAAATCCCCACAGACCTTTTTTAATTTGATTTTTAGAACTTTATAGGCTATTTTTAAAATTTATACAGATATGCAAAATACTAAGAAGATCAAAGAAATTCTTAAAGAACAATAAGACAGGAGGGCTTATTTTACAAGGATAGCAAGACAATGCAGAGCGATATTGATGTTAAATAATTTAGACAGTGTAATTTTGGTACAGGCATGAAGAAATGGACTTATGCATGTATAGTTGGAATTTGACAGTATGCAGATAAGTAAGAGAAATAAGTGCTTTGTAGGAAATGGTTCTGGAAGAATTTGCTTTCTGTAGGGGGAAAATGGAAATTGTTTTTCCTTATATAAAAGGATCAAAATGACAACGGATTACAGTCCTGTATAAAAAATAACTGTAAAACTTTAGAGGAAAGTGTAAGAGACTTAGTGAATTCTTTTTCAGTAATTTTATGACATTAAAAAAAAGCATAATTGACAAGTACATACTTGACTACACTAAAATTAACAACTCAAACTCATCAAAAGACACCATAAGTGAAAAGATAATCTACAACTTTGAAGAAAATATTTGTAACATATATAACAGAAGATAAATACAAAGAATAAACAAATTATACATATGGTTAGCATTTCCTAACTTTTTTGGACTCAGATTCATTTTCTTAATATTAAAACATTGTCAGTCTGTACAGTATAATCTGAGATTTTAAATAAGTTTAAAAAATTGCTTTATGAATTTTCTGTCTTTTACATGGTCATTGTTGACTCACAGGATACTTTCTAATGATTAGAACTGCTTAACAGTGTAAAATTATAGGTAATTTATGCCACTGTGTAACCATTTACATGTGCTGAAAATAAACTTTCATTCTAATACAATCTCTTAAATTCCTGGTCTTGACAAATAGCAAATTGATTTATGGTCTCGTGGACAAAGGTCATTCCTAATCTTGAGAGTTTGTGGGGATCCTTGTAATAAGTTTTTTAAATGTTTGCAAATTATAAAATAGTAATTGATAGTATTGAGGAATCCCATAATTCATGGCACTTTAAAAATGTGTATTTTATACCCACTTAGGCCGGATACATCAAGCAATGGTAACGTCTTTAAATGAAGATAATGAAAGTGTAACTGTTGAGTGGATAGAAAATGGAGATACAAAAGGCAAAGAGGTAAGATCACTGGATTAAATTTTATTTCTAGTTCTAAAATCAAGATTCTGAATATAAAACAAAGCAGAAGAGTATTTAATTTTTATATAGTATATATTCATTATCCTTTGAGAAACTTTGAATGATTAAAAATTTTCAGCCTTAAGAAACTAGATTCCTTCTGCATATCTTACATGATTGGATGTAAAATCAAGAACACAAAATGTTACCTGTAGAGGGAGACTCTTTAAATATATGTGTTTTATATTTCTAGATAATCTTGTTTTAATGGCATACTCTTTCTTAGGCTGAGATCATTTAACATTCTCTCTCTGTAAATTTATTTGAAAAATAAAAGGTTAATTGTTAAAATATACTCTAAAAATATATGCTTTTTTTTAAAAAAAAAACAAAAAACCAACAGATTGACTTGGAGAGCATCTTTTCTCTTAACCCTGACCTTGTACCTGATGAAGAAATTGAACCCAGTCCAGAAACACCTCCACCTCCAGCATCCTCAGCCAAAGTAAACAAAATTGTAAAGGTTAGTGATGAAAATTCATAGGAGGGTATGTATATTTTGATTTGAAATTGGCAGACTGAAGATTATGTTTCAAGAATTAAGTTCACTTTTAAAAAAACACACTTTTTGTCGTTCACATGCATGTATAGGCTTATACTTTGAAAGATATAGCAAAGGGTGTCTCATTCACCGTTAGGAAATGAGATGTTAGAAATCTCCTTTCCTGATTAGGGTTTTTCCTAAAATTAATAGCTTCTTGGGAAATATAGGACAAACTATTTGCTTGTCAGTGTTTCTTTAGTGAATACATATGACTTTCATAAAGAAAGAATTTTTTTTATTAATCATAATAAATTCACACTCCAAGCCTTTTGAAATAGTAGTTCTGTATTTGTTTAAGGAATATAAGTGTAGTTTAACTTACCTCTATATTATCTGTGAAGATAAATATCCTCCCTAACAGTTTTCTCCTTAAAAATTAAAAGGCGGACCTCCCCGGTGGTGCAGCGGTTGACCGCTGCCCGCAGCCTCTGCAGTGCCGGTTCGATCCCTGGCCACTGGGTGAGAGTCCCACATGGCATGCAGACCTCTCCTGCTGCCCGCTGCTCCCCTCAGCAGTGTACCTTGTCAGTCTGCCTGCTCTGCTCTCCGCTCTGACTCTGGTGAATTCTCTCGCCTTCCCGCGCTTCTGACTATACCCAGTGCGTGTATAAATAAATAAATAAATCTTTAAAAAAAAAAATTAAAAGGCACTGGGCCCCCCTGGTGACACTGGGGTTAAAGTCTCAGTGCTATCAAACTGTCCCCACCCACTTGTATGCATAAATAAAAAAAAATGAAAGACACGTATTTTGTATTATTTGTAAAGGTAATTCCTTATTTTATTTATTTATTTATTTATTTATTTTTTTATTAGAGGCATGTTTTTGTTTATTTATTTGTTTGTTTGTTTCATTTATACATGCACTGGGTACAGTCAGAAGCGCGGGAGGGTGAGAGGATTCACCAGAGCCAGAGCGGGGAGCAGAGCAGGCAGAAGGACCGAAGTACACTGCTGAGGGGAGCAGCGGGCTGCAAGAGAGGTCTGCGCGCCATGTGGGACCCTCCTCCGGTGGCCGGGGAGCAGCCAGGGATTGAACCGGCGCCGCAGAGGCCGCAGGCAGCTTCGCAACCCAGCGCTCAACCACTGCGCCACCGGGGAGGCCCCCTTATTTTATTTTAAAGATTTATTTATTTATGCATACAGGAACAGAGGTGTGGGGGGGGGGGTGAGAGGATTCACCAGAGACAGAGTGGGGAACAGAACAGGCAGATTGTCTGAAATACGCTGCTGAGGAGGGCAGTGGATGAGTCAGGAGAGTTCTGCTGTGCCATGTGGATAGCTCCCTGGCTAGGGATCCAACTCGTGCTGCAGTGGCTGCGGATAGCTTCATAGGTTGCATCTTAAACCCTTGCACCACCAGGGAGTCCCCAATTCCTCATTTTTTCTACTGAAGCTTTCATTATTGAAACTTTGTGTCAAAAGTGTAACTCTTTGAAGCAGATAGTCCCACAAGTTGAATTTGCAGTTCTTTGTTCGGTTTAACAATGTGTTGATTTTTCTTTGTCAGTATTATTTACAAAGATAATTATTATATGACAATCTTATAACTCACTTTATTGCAGGGAAGACATAGTTGAGCTCAAAAATGTGAAAAAAGCTCAACAGTATTAGTAAAATATCTTACTTTGTAAGCTGTACATATGAACATAAAGCAGATTTTCAGTTCCTATAGTTTTAGCATATTTTAAAAGTCACAGCTTAGAGCTTATTAGTTGCCACCGCAAACAGGGTATTCATAGTTTATCCTTGATATGTTACTAATGATCTCCACTGTGCATTAAAATCACCTGAAGAATTTCTAGGCCCATTCACAGAGATTCAGATGTATTTTGTCTAGAGGGAGACCCTAATATAAATACCCTTTTAGTAATAACCATCAGATTTGAATGTCCAATTAGGTTGAAAAGACTTGCATTTTTTGATATGATTTTTTTCATGTGATTAAAATGAAGTCTTGATAAATAAACAGTAGTACCAAAATTTGCTGCCCTCATCCATGTGGTGTTGAAGTCTTTGATAGTACAATGAAACCTTTTAATGTAACTGATTGCATACTTCATAATGTTTGGATGTGTCAGTTTAACAATGAGCTGTAAGTTGTCTAAAACTACTATTTTATTAACCCCTTGCATCCAAAGATTAAATTTTTTACACAGTTTTGGCAGATAAGCATAATGATTAATAGCACAAACTTTAGTGAAATTACTGAATCTCTTCTTAGTTTCCTCATACATGAAATGGGAATGGCAATAATAAAGACTTAATAGGGTTGCTGTAAAGATTAAATGGGCTAACTTACACAAAGTCTTTAGTGCAGTGAGTGCGAGGGTCTAATTAATTCCTGAAGAAAACAGTGCATACATATACACACACACGTATATGTATTTGGAAGTAGGGGGAATACTCATATAAAGAGACTTACATATTGACAGCATTAATGGTACTTTATTAGATTTTTCTCCATTTAGTTTTATATATTTATCCTCCTTTTGTTTAAAAAGCATGCTGAAATTATGATATATGTGAGTAAAGAGAGAAAGTAAAACAAGTATTTTCTATTTCATAGAATCGACGGACTGTGGCTTCTATTAAGAATGACCCTCCTCCAAGAGATAATAGAGGTAAAGTAAAAATTAGTCTATTAATTTTGCCTATTGAAATTTTAGAATGACCCTGACAAGGTAAGTCAGAAGTGAGTATTCCCTTGATATTATTATTTATTTAACTTCATGAGACTGATTTATTTTTTTAATTTATTTCCTAATGTAATAATGTTGACAAGATCAAAAAATTGTTGATAAAGGTATATGGTGAATATAAAAGTTTCATGATAATATGCAACTTTTGATTCATTTTAGCTACCCAAGTTTTCAGAGTTGAGGAGACTATTATGAGAAAGACGGAATGAAGTAGTAGTTTTTTAATTTCAGAAGGATGAATTTAATCATTATGACAGTTTTACATTATTTTCTGGGTAACAGGATTTTCTAAAGGATCATGGAATACTTAGAGTCAGCTAAAAAAAGTTGAATAGTATGTCTGTAAGGTATAATAAATTGCAGGTTTTCCATGTGTTTTCAGCCAGGAAATACAAAGCATAATTAATTTCTATTCAGCAGTTCAGAGTTACCCTTTCTAATAGTGATATTGTTCTGTATTTGTGGATTGGATTAGGATGGGTATCGATACTAGAGGATAAATTGGAAACAGAAGGAAAATTCCCTATACTTTATATTTTTTTATTTCTTTTTTTTAAAGATTGTTTATTTATTTTACACAAGAACTGGGGTACAGGCCAGATGTGCGGGAGGGTGAGAGGATTCACCAGAGACAGAGTGGGGAGCAGAATAGGCAGACTGATGAAATAAACTGCTGATGGGAGCAGTGGGCGAGACAGGAGAGGTCTGCCTCTCCATGTGGGACCCTCGCCGGCTGGCTGGTATTGAACCTGCGCTGCAGGCTGCGGATAGCTTCACAGCGCGGCACTCAAAACGCCTGCGCCACCAGGGGAGGCCCTCCCTACACTTTAAATACTGTCCTTTGAATCTTGCAAAAGATTTTATTTCTTTGTAATGTATGATATTTGCGTTTAACTTTACATCATTTTTCCAGTTTTATAATATCAACAGTGGGAAATTGTCTGCTGAAAATTTGCATAGTTGAGCAAAGAGTGGGATTTGGCATACAGAGTTGAATTTTTAAGTTGCTTTCAGGACTTAGAAATTGCGTAAAAGTTTCAAAATAATGAATTTAACGTTCATATTTTGCACGCTTACATTTTGGATTTGGTTTTTATATAAATAAAAATTCAGATTGAGTTTTGTGACTAAGATTAACATTAGTGGAACCAAAGTGTGCTCATTGCTTTCAAATCCTCTGTTAGCATAGCAATTGATTGAACAGTATTAAACTTGGAAATTCGGTAATGCAACTTTTAAGTATCAGTTATTTTAAGATATCTGTGTTCCTGTTACCAAGTTCACCTTCACTAATTTTTGTTTTCCTTACAGTTGTTGGTTCTGCACGTGCGCGGCCTAGTCAACTTCCTGAACAGTCTTCCTCTGCACAACAGAATGGTAGTGTTTCAGATATATCTCCAGTTCAAGCTGCAAAAAAGGAATTTGGACCCCCTTGTATGTAAATCATGTATCAAGGATTCAGTCATTTTAGGCATACATGTATTCTCTCTTGGTCATCTTTATAAGTCCCCAAATGGTAAACAACCTAATTGCAAACTTTATTGCAGATTTCATCTTACCACTGAGGAAAATAATTTTTTTCTTAGAAATTTAGTCTATTGGGGTTTTAAAAATATATTTCAGATGAAAAAAATTTTGTGACTATTGTAACAGTCTTTCATTTGCTTTGAATTTGAAATTCTGGCCAGGAGGTAATTTGACAGTGTTATTAAAGAAATTTTTTTATTTAGTACTTTTCAATTCAATTTAAAGATCTGTAATTCTTAACCAAGAGATGACATGTATCAATATGTTAGAGTCATTTTTCTTGACTCATATGTATATTGTCCTGTTCCTAGTTTTGTTAAAGCAGCTCATAAGTAAAGTTCACATGGTTGTTGTAGGCATGCTTTATCATTGTGTCCCTTTTTGGGATGGTGTGTATGTGCTGAAATTATATATTAAACTTCGTGTGTGTGAGTACAGTGCTCTGAAAAGAAAACTAAAATTCATCTTTCTTTTAGCACGTAGAAAATCAAATTGTGTGAAAGAAGTAGAAAAATTACAAGAAAAACGAGAAAAAAGGAGACTGCAACAGCAAGAACTTAGAGAAAAAAGAGCCCAGGTTTGTAACAGAAACAAATGTTTTCAGTGAAAGTGATTGGCTTGTAATATAATTTAAAGAATTCTATGTAGTAATTAGATAGATATTGAGATATAATAAAGATTTTTAAGAAAATAATTTATCTTAACAGATTTTCACTACGTGTACATTTTGTATTTTAGTGCCTTTGTTATCCTGAAGTTTGTTCCATTTTGAATAAGCCATTATGTTACAGAATTCTAATGCATGTGCTCGTCAAGATTTTGACTTTCAAAAGTAATCTAGAAATACGTTCAAAAGACTATCCAGTTATATTACGTATTTTATTATTGCTTTTTACATGGTCAGTACGTTCTATGTATCACAAGAGGCAATTCCTTGTGTTTTGACTAATACTAGATACTGAGAATGGATCTCTACAGCGCCCTCTCGTGTTCACTTACATGATAGAAAAACTGTTTACTGGTGGTAGAAAAATTGCATAGAGGGCTGGTCTTTTATCTCTCTACAGGTCACCACATAATAAACTTGGTACTTACAACTCTTCTATTATGCTTGTGTCTGTTATATTCTGAGAACTTGTGACTCTAGTAAAACATGGGTATTGTTTCTTTATTTAAGAGCATGTTCAAATGCCTGTAATCATAAAGATATATGTTGTGTTATGAAATTGTAGTATGCAGGACAATACTGAGTCTTTTTTTTTTTTTTTATAGAGGCATGTTTTTATTTATTTATTTATTTGTTTGTTTGTTTGTTTGTTTTGTTTATACATGCACTGGGTACAGTCAGAAGCGCGGGAGGGTGAGAGAATTCACCAGAGCCAGAGCGGGGAGCAGAGCAGGCAGAAGGACCGAAGTACACTGCTGAGGGGAGCAGCGGGCGGCAGGAGAGGTCTGCGCGCCATGTGGGACCCTCCTCTGGTGGCCGGGGAGCAGCTGGGGATCGAACCAGTGCCGCGGAGGCCACGGGCAGCTTCGCAACCCAGCGCTCAACCGCTGCGCCACCAGGGAGGCCCAATACTGAGTCTTAATATATCAAATTAGATCTGAAAGGGAACTGAGAGTGACCAGTTGGGTTTTGAAAAAATATGCAAAACAGATTACTAATACTCCACACAGATGCCATCTGTGGATGCTTCTTAATATTTTCACATCTTTTTGTGATCTCTTAATTCTCACTTTAAACCTTCTGCTTCTCAGTTGCCATTGTTGATAATATTTTCTACAAAAAATTTTAATGGAAAGTAAGTTTCTTTAACAGATTTGAAGTTTAATTATTTTCAAAGAAAATCTGTATTTGGTATTTTGAAAAATATAACTTAGAATGTTCAGTAGCTTACTGCTTGCTGTTAGGAGGATGCTAACTATCATCATATTTATCTTACTCTCATTTTGAAGCAAAAAATTAATTAAAGCTAGCATTCAGTAACTTCAATTTTAAGTATTTAGAAAATTATCTTGACATCTGATTCATATAAATTCCCAATTGATTTAGGACTGTTTTTTTTTTTAATGTTAACAAATAATATGGACCATAAGTGAGTCCATATTTATGCTTTGCCTAAACACTGGTTTAAGTAGTAGGAAGAAGCTGATTATTTGAATTTTTCTGCAATTTCCGCTTTCCTGTAGTTCCTGGTCAGTGTTTAAGATAACCACTATTTTGTTGAATTTTCGTGTGTGTGTGTGTGTGTGTGTGTGTGTGTATTAGAAGAACTGGGGTGTAAGCCAGAGGTATGGGGAGGGGGTGAGAAGATTCACCAGAGACAGAGTGGGTAGCAGAACAGGCAGGCTTATTGAAATACATGCCAAAGGGGATACAGGAGAGGTCTGCTGTACCCTAAGTGGGTTAGCTCTGTGGCCCAGGCTTGAACTTAGGCCGTAGTAGTGATAGCCCTGACCTTAACTCCTAGGCTACTAGGAGATCCTTTGTTGCATTTTCTGGTACAATTAAGTTATATATGCATAATAGATTAATTTTTTAAATACATCATGGTTGACTTTAATGCGAGTGTTTGGTTTGGAGTAAGCAGAATGCATGTAGACTAACAGTTGTGTTCTTAATATGAAATTGATTTCTAGACACATTATTAGTCCCGAACTCTGAAACTAAATTATGTCACATCTCCAGTTTGAAGTTGGGCGTGGCTATGTCAAATGACACAATCTATTGGTTTAATTTTATTTTTCAAACCACATGTAACATAAATACAAGTATGACATTATTGTAGTTACACTGAACAATTCTATTCTTTTATAGGATGTTGATGCTACAAATCCAAATTATGAAATTATGTGTATGATCAGAGACTTTAGAGGAAGTTTGGATTACAGACCACTAACGACAGCAGATCCTGTAAGATTTTTTTTTAAGATTTATTTTTATTTATTTATTCATATAAGAACTGGGATTTAGGCTAGAGGTGCAAGGGGTGAGAGGATTCACCAGAGACAGTGGGGAGCAGAAGAGGCGGATCTACTGAAATATACTGCTCAGGGAAGCAGAAGGCAAGATAAGTCTGTGCCATGTGGGTTATCTCCCTGGCTGGGGATCAAACTCATGCTGCAGTGGCTGCCAATACCTTAATAGTATTGAGACTTAACTCCTTGTGCCATCAGGGAGGCCCCTGTAAGGTTTTTTCATAAACCATTGCTCTGGAACTTTCTATGCTGTATGTAAAAACACATTTGATACCCACTAAATTAATATTATATTTAGCTATGTAGTTTTTCCTCTTCCATGTTTTAAAAAGAAAATCAAGAAACCATCTACTCTCTCCTTCAACTTTTGCTATCTCCTTTAATTTAATATATCAAACATGTTTCCCATGGATGTCCTTTTCAAAACAAAGCCTCGTCTTTTAGCCGAGCAACAGTTAAAGAAGTTTTGTCAGAAGACCCACTTTCTTTTCTGACCATCACTTACACTTTGATCTCAACTCTATAAACTTATTCCCTCTTTGCGGTTGGTTGTAGGTCCCACAGTGTTCCAATTTACTATTAGTTCATTTTTTATTTTTAAATAAATGTTACTATGATTTTAACAATAAATAATGGTTGTTAAAGACTACAGGAGACAGGAAACCTAATGCTCAAGAAATGTTCTATCTTATTACGCAAGTCCTTTCCGTTGAAGAGTGAGAATTTATTAGCAATACTTTTGTGACTAACTGGTACTAATGAAAAATAATCTTTCTGATCTAGCATACACAGACTATATTAGGTACCCAAAATATAATTGTGTTAGGTGGCTGTATTATATAGGATTTAATAGAGTTGTTCATAGTATTTATATCCCATATATTTTAGACCTTGCTTCCCCTCCATGCTTAACCTGATATCTCTGATCTCAAACATTAGGATGGGTTGGCAAACTTTTTCTGAAAAGGGTCTGATGGTAATTTTTTGGCTATGTGAACCATTTGGTCTTTGTCACACCACTCAGTTCTTCTCTTGTATGAAAGCAGCTGTAGACAATACATAAAAGAATGGTTCTAACTGTTTTAGTAAGACTTCACAGAAGTAGGTAGTGGGCCCTGTTAGGCCTGTGGGCCATACTTTGCTCCTTGCTCTTTATGTTAATTATCATTAAAAGGCAAGTATTAGGGACATAGATTTTATGAAAAAGTGTGGAAGAATTGGTATATTTATAACATTTTTCAAATTATTTTGCTCATTAATATGCGGGTCTTATATATCTTTTCTATATAGTTAGTCCTTTGTAGCCACAGGTTACACATCTTCTGATTGAACCAGTTGTGATTCAGAAATGTATAGTATATAGTTAGGTCATGATGCTGGTGTCTATAATGAACATGTACAGTTGACTCTTGAACAGTGTGGAGGTTAAAGGAAGCAGTGCTGTGCAATCAAAAATCTGTGTTAATTTCTGATCCTGGTAGCCTGCCCCAGGCTGGTTTCAAGTCCACAGATTCTGCAAACTAATCTCCATGGATGGTTGAATTCATGATTGCAAAACCCAGGGAAGGGATGTAAGCAAAAATCTACTGTAAGATGATCTGTGCAACTCAAACATAGGTTGTTCAGAAGTCAACTGTACAGACCTTTTTTCTGTCATTCCCCAAATAATTTACAGTATAACAACTATGTATACAGTATTTTCATTGTACTTAGGACTTATAAGTAATCTAGAGATGATTTTAAGTATGGGGGAGGATTGCATAGTTCATATACAAATGCTATACCTTTTTATATATGACAATTGAGCATCAGGGAATTTTAGTTGGTTGGGGGGGCTACTGTAATTGTCTTTGTTACCAACTTATCCTATATATAATCTGAAGACAGGCTACTTGGTAGGAAATTTTACTTTTATTCTACACTATTTCTTTTTTATATTATTTTTTAAATTTTTTTTACATCATTGTTCATTTTTAAACAATATTTGCTTCCCCCCACCCCCTCAGGTATAGTCCCCATAGAGTTTCCTTCACCAATGCACCTGTGCACCATCACCTCAGTCCCCTGTGCTTCTCCCTCCAATGTCTCTCCCTCCTCCTCTCCTACAGTATGTCTCTGATTTATAATTGACCGTTTTTGCTTTGTTTACACAGTATTTCTTGAAATAAATGAGACAACTTCTTTCTGTGAGTCTAATGTGTTGGAGAACACTAGTGCCCTCTACAAAGTTATTTCCTAATGGCTTACCAAGTAATAAATTAAACATGTTTCCATTTATACTCAATATTTTAGAACAATTACATCTGAGAACTATTAGAATTTGTGCAAGCAAATTGTTTTTAAGCTTATATATTTATACTGTGCATAATTTTCTAAAATCTTTGGAGGAAATATTGCATAATTGACTTTTCATTGTTTTGCATACTACTGATAATCATTGAAATAAAAACTTTAATTTCTAGATTGATGAACATAGGATATGTGTTTGTGTGAGAAAACGGCCACTCAATAAAAAAGGTACGATGCTTGTTGAGCTTGAATAAAAGGTTGATTTTGTCCTCTCTATAATTAATTTTGATAATAGCAGAAATCAAATTGGGTTGGAAGAGTGAAATATAATTCATTTCAAATCATTTATACACAGCCATAATGCAGATTTCTTTGGTTAAATCTGTTGATTTGTTAATGTTGTATGAATCATTGCTTTGTAGAAATTTGCTATCTTGCTTTGTTGTTGAAATACTGTTATTGCATGACATTTATGGGATATTTATATTTACAGAATTTATTACTTTTATCTAAAGTCTTCCTACTGAAAGTAATTTTGTACGTTAATTCAAATGTTGTGAAAATTACTGGGGACTGATTTTCATTTATTCTTTTAGAAACTCAAATGAAAGATCTTGATGTAATCACAATTCCTAGTAAAGATGTTGTGATGGTACATGAACCAAAACAAAAAGTAGATTTAACAAGGTACCTAGAAAACCAAACCTTTCGTTTTGATTATGCCTTTGATGACTCAGCGCCTAATGAAATGGTTTACAGGTAGGTATATTCATTTTAAGTCAGAATTTTGTTCATATGCCATGTTTTTTTACCACCCTGATACTTACATTAATCTTAGCAGATCTCCAAAGCTGTAATACGCTTTTTACCTTGAGTTTAAAAGAAAAGAGTAATAAACATTCTAGTGAATATTAGCATTTGTTAGTCATTGAGATAGTTTTAGTACATGAAATTCTTGTATGCTCACATATTGAAATTATAAACCACTCAAATTTGCATGTATTATATATTGACATCCCAATTTTTTATGCCAAGTGTAGATTTTCATACATTGTGAATATTCATTTCTATTTACTGTAAAAGATAAGTTTTAGCAGCTTTGCTATTTCAGTCCTTACATAGCTGTATTGGCAATTACTTGAGTGTTTTATTGTCCTTTGTGAATAGAGTGAAAACAAAATTAAATAGCTATTAAGAGACAGTATGATAGCTGTTATAAATGAAATATGACTGAGGTCAATTCCATTGGTCTTAAACTACTAAACTGGGAAGTTTAGTGGTAAAGAAAGAAAACAAAAGTTAAAAACATAATGCTAAATAGAAATATTGTGAAGAACTTTTTTAAATTTACATTTTTTGCTTTCTGAGATCAGAATCTTCCCTCCCCATTTATAAAGTCCTCTTCTCTTATAAATATTTAATTTTTATAATCGTTTTGAAGAAATATTATAAATTAAGGTATATTTCTGTATATATACTAAATTTAGTAAATATTCTGTTTCACCCTATATTTATGTTTATTCACTTTTCTAATATTGATCCTGTCTCTGATCTCTTATTCTTAACTTTTGTGTATTGAGGCATTATCTAATGGTTCTGCAGGCTCATTACTATTCTTTGGCCAAAACTGTTCTTCCTGCTCCTTGTTGTTGTGTATCATCCCAGTTACGCTTTTTTAACAAAAATCAGCGGAGCTCAGTAAAGCATTCCATTTATTATTTTGAAGTGTATATAAAAAGCAGAATATTTACCTACATTCAAGGAAATCTTACCATTTTTCTACTTGCTTAAGTGGTCTCAAGATAATATTCTTGTAGGTTTTTCCCCATCGAGTTTTCTCTTTGGAGATTATCATTCTTTTGGTTCTGTTTCTGTTGAAACTTTTTTTTTTTTAAGATTTATTTATTTATGCATACAAGAGCTGTGGTACAGGCCGGAGGTATGTGGGATGAAAGGATTCACCAGAGACAGAGTGGGAAGCAGAATAGGCAGACTGACTGAAATGCACTGCTGAGGGGAGAAGCAGGCAAGACAGGAGAGGTCTGCTGCGCCATGTGGTTAGCTTCCTGGCCAGCTGGGTATTGAATTCATGTTACAGAGGCAGCAGGTAGCTTCACAGTGCTGTGCGTATCCCCTTGTGCCACCAGGGAGGCCCATGTTTCTGTTGAAATTTTTGATCAATTTTTTGGTTTGTTTTCGTTACATATGTCTGCTTGTCTGACTAACATGACTATCTTTGATTATTTTGAGAAACTTCCCTTTTCTGTATATGTCTTTTTTGCGTTACTATCTATTTTTTTTCTCTGCATTATTATTTTGACTATCGTTTATTGGCTTAATTATTTCTTGCAATTCTGTTTTTAATACCTTTAAACAACTTAAAGGATGTTGATTATTTAAAATTTTTAAAAAATCAGTGGGCTAAGTGGCCTTATATTAAGCCTACTGATTTATTTAAAACTCATGGTATAAGTTTTATTTATTAAGATTTGATATAACTTATTTGTGTGATTTAATTATTAACAACACATTCTGACTGATGAATTTTGTTTTTAAGGTTTACAGCTAGACCACTAGTGGAAACTATATTTGAAAGGGGAATGGCTACATGCTTTGCTTATGGGCAAACTGGAAGTGGAAAAACTCATGTAAGGAATTCATAATAATAATTATAATTACATCCCAATATGAAGTTACAGTTTATCTTAACTTGCATTAAGACCTAAAATTTTTAAAGATTTTCTCCTGAATAATGTCTATTCTTTATTGTCATTTTAACATATAGACTATGGGAGGTGATTTTTCAGGAAAGAACCAAGATTGTTCAAAAGGAATTTATGCATTAGCAGGTGATTATTTGTTTGTTTTTGTCCCCATATCATTTGTAATTGAGTGTTCAGGTGACTTTGAAGTAAGTCTTGGAAATATTGTTTAGAATTTTAAGGATAGTTGTAATTTTATATACACTTTATATTATGTCAATTTTAGATTATGAAAACGAGTGTAAAGAATGGGATTAATTTGGGGGGTGCAGAAATCTTGATTATATTTGTATCATTGTAATCTGGCACCTTGTTGGAACTTAGTGTTTATTGTTGAACAACTGATTTATGAAAAGCTGTTTGGTATCATGAGAGTAGCCTTATTAAGACCACCTGTACTAATGTTTTGCTATTTATAAGAATAGTAGTAGCATGCTTTTAACAAATATGAAGGAGAGTGACATCTAAACTTTAAAAAATAAAAACTATTGCTACTATATTTTTCTATAATGTTCATGTTAGTCTTCATTTTTATTATTGATAACTATCATTCTAGGTAAAGATTAACTTACTCATCTAAAAATAGAAATCTTGGGTTGCCTTTTAAAAATTATATTTGCGCATCTTAACAAATTTTCTCCATATGAAATTCTTGACAGCTCGAGATGTCTTTTTAATGCTAAAGAAGCCAAACTATAAGAAGTTAGAACTTCAAGTATATGCAACCTTTTTTGAAATTTATAGTGGAAAAGTAAGTGGAAGCTTTTTAATTGCATTTACAATATACATAATAAAATTTACTATTTAACCATTTTTAAGTGTACAGGTTCAGTGGCATTAAGTACATTCATATTGTTATGCAGCCATCACCAACACTTCATTTTTATATGTATTTAGAATTTTATATTAGAATTTGTTAGGAGATTTTTTTAATGCTCTTTGAAACTCTTCAACCTCGGTATTGAACATTATTATTTTAATGATGATTCTTGGAAATAATATTTGGTTTCTGGATGACTCATTTTTATAGACTTTTTTCCCTTTAAGGTGATTTTTCTACTTTCAATTTGTTTTGTCTTTTTTAAATAGGTGTTTGATTTGCTAAACAGAAAAACAAAATTAAGAGTTCTAGAAGATGGAAAACAGCAGGTTCAAGTGGTGGGATTACAGGAAAGGGAGGTCAAATGTGTTGAAGATGTACTGAAACTCATTGACATAGGCAACAGTTGCAGGTAAATCTCTTTTTAATTAAGAAGGGGAAATTTAACTGCATAGTAAGTTTTAGATAGGTTAGCTATAGCAAAAACAGATCAAGGATGTTACTCAATACATCTTGGAAGTAAAAACATTGTACTTAAAAAACCTTTACTAAAAAAAAAAAAACCCTTTACTATACATACAACTGATATCTACAATATTGATAACATACCACAAGTAAATTAGATGTTGGTTTAAATGATGAAAGTTGGCTAAGTAGTTTTTGTATTTTGTTTTTTAATGAAAATACTATGATTTGGACATCTAAATTGATGTTTTTATGTATCAAAATTTCCTTCATCACACTGTAGAACATCTGGTCAAACATCTGCAAATGCACATTCATCTCGGAGCCATGCAGTGTTTCAGATTATTCTTAGAAGGAAAGGAAAACTACATGGCAAATTTTCTCTCATCGATTTGGCTGGAAATGAAAGAGGAGCTGATACTTCCAGCGCAGACAGGCAAACTAGGCTTGAAGGTGCTGAAATTAATAAAAGCCTTTTAGCACTCAAGGTAAATAAAATGTATTTAATTATGAAAAGCCTTTTATATGTCATTTTATTTTATTTTCTCAGATATAAAATGATAGCATTTGCTTAAAAGTGAAAGGTTATCAAAATTTAGTTTTTTGTGTTTGCAGTTATAGATTTATATTGTACCCAGAAATTTTCTTTATATGCTTCTTTTTAGGGTAGATAAAAAATCTGTTAGTTGGCAAGCCAATTCAAAGCTATTTAGGGGAGATTCCCAAGGGCCTTTGTCATTAATATTTTCTTGGAGGATGGTAGGTAATCAGAGAATTGAGCTAAGAAAGTTTCTCAGGAAGATGTGGAGAGACTTCAAAAAGTTGAATCAGTATTATCTCTTAACTAGAAAAGCAAAGCTTGGTAGAACTGTTAGGAAGCATTCTGTGTTTTTTCTACTGGAGTGCCACTTTATAAACATTTAACTTTTTATGATTATCCTATTGCCTTTCCTTTTGGAATAATGTTTTTTTCCCCCTAATATCGTGTTCTTGAATTAGGATTTATGGGAACTTTAACTGTGTGATAAACTTGTTAATAGTATAGAGTTGATCAGATCTTAAATGTAGAGTTCTATAGTAAGAGATCTTTTAAAATATGCTCAGATTTCTCTGAGACTTGCTTTCTTAATTTTCAGGAGTGCATCAGAGCCTTAGGTAGAAATAAACCTCATACTCCTTTCCGAGCAAGTAAACTTACTCAGGTGTTAAGAGATTCCTTCATAGGTGAAAACTCTCGTACCTGCATGGTAAGTTTATGTTTAAATGAATATCTATACCCTTATCTATGGGAAAATTGTAATATACATTAGTGACAATCACTTAAATCCTTTTCTGAGTGATACAGTGATACTTAGGATTGTGGTCCCTGCCAGTGTAATTGGATGATGTTTTCTACTAATTCCGACATCTAGGTGGTCTTAAGTTTGATCTCAATTCATTTATTTTTTTCTTGAATATGGGTCAACTTTTCTCTTTGTTCATATGCCTGGCAATATTGGATGATATCATTTGTCATAAGATTATTGATTGGGTTTTATTTTAGCAGAAAGTTAATTTAGCTGTACTTAACTCCAAAGTCCACATCCCCCTCACCGAGGGTCTTGGGCAGCAACTAAAACTGAATCTGTTTACTTCTTTCACACTTAGCTATGTTACTTGGAGTCAGATTTACGTATGCCTATTCAGAGGTCAGCCAGAGATTTGGCAGTTTATATGAGGAATTTTGGTTTCTTCCTCTGTGGCTGTCTTTCTTTTCTGGGACAAATTTTACTTTCTAGCTGCTGTGGTTCCTAACTCCAAATGCTGACCTTTACTTTCATAACCAATGGAACTTGAGGTTTCTAATACAATTTCAGTTGTCCTATGCAACAATAGTAGTGCTTTCCCTTTGTTGAAAAAACAATTTTAAAAAAAGGATGCTTGAAGCTATTCCTTTTTTCTAGGTGTTGACCTCCATTTTCTGCTTGATTTTGGTAACTTTTGTTTCTATAAACAACTCTTCATAGAGTTTATATTTTAACAGGCATTTATAATTATTATTTTTATGGATGTAAGAAAGCAAATTAGTCTTCATTATTTGTAATATTTTCTTTACTTTTGCACTTTTTCCCCCATAGATTGCCACGATTTCTCCGGGAATGGCATCCTGTGAAAATACTCTTAATACGTTAAGATATGCAAATAGGTATGAAATGGTTATTTTGAAATTTGGGAGGAGTAGATCACGGTATGGTTTAATGCCTGATAGGATAAATTTTAATACATTGTTCTTTCAATTTTCACAGAATTATTTTGGCATATTCATTAAAATAATATTAGAATCATTTTATCAAATTCAAAAAAGGAAATATACAAATTGGGAAGATATATATATATATATATTTTTTTTTTTTTTAAATATTTATTTATTTATATAAGCACTGGGTACAGTCAGAAGCGCAGGAGGGTGAAAGAATTCACCAGAGCCAGAGCGGAGAGCAGAACAGGCAGACTGAAGAAGTACACTGCTGAGGGGAGCAGCGGGCGGCAGGAGAGGTCTGAGCGCCATGTGGGACCCTTCTCCAGTGGCCGGGGATCAAACCGGTGCTGTAGAGGCTGCGGGCAGCTTCGCAACCCAGCATTCAACCGCTGTGCCACTGGGGAGGCCCAGATATATATATTTTTAAAAGAATTGATGTTTCTCTCCTAGAACATGATTCTGTTTTTCAGTTTCACCAGGTTGCATTTCATAATATTTTACTACCTTTGAACATGAAGATCTTCTAATTATAAGACTCTAAAGCAACTATGCAAGGCAGGGGGGCGCGGTATCAGTCTGTATTTCTTAAATTATGTGTGCTGGAAATTATTTCTGGTAACTATGGAGAATTTCAAGTTTGAATAAGGAGTGATAACACAGTTCTGTCTGTTCTTTGTGGATTACATTTTATCATTCTTGTCCGTAGTGTTACAAAGTTTAATATATAACTGATTATTATATATGAAAATAAAGAAAACATGGATTGTTAAAGCAGTTTATTCCTTGAATCATGAAGTATCCTCTAAACTTTGGATTGTGATTAGTCTATCTATATTTGTTCATAGATTTTTCCCATTGCTCGTTTTGAATGACTATATAATTTTAAATTTGTCTATCACATGCTGTACTTGTGGTCTTAACCAAGAGATAAAATTCCCCTTTGTATTCCATTTCTAATTGGAGAGTCTCTTAATTTTGCTGAATATAAGTATTTGTCTTATTTCTTTGTTTTAATTACTATGAAATTTTACTTTTAATCAATTAAAATATGAAGTATGTAGACAAGTATCCAAAACAAATGAATAATTTAATGAATTTTACAAAATGAAAATTCCTCTTTTTAGATTAGGAAATAGAACATTACCAGTCCCCAGAAAGTTCTCCATGTGTTGCTTTTAGATCGCAAATCCTAAATAACATGCCAAAATCAGTTAATCTTCATCCCAGCATAAACACTCTCCTGACTTTTGTGGAATAATTTTTTCATTTTTCTTTCTTCTTAAAAAGCAGTTTTACTACCTGTGAATGTATGCCTGAACACTAGAGGCAGCTATATTTGAACTTTACATAAAAGAAAGAAATCATGCTCTTTATTTTTATGTGTATTTCTTTTGTTTCAACTGAAGACATTTTTTAAAATGATAGTGAAAACTGTTGGGAAATGCAGTTCTATTGCCTTTTGTGAAAATATATAAACTTCTTTTAAAATGTAATAGAACTCTAATTGTTCTCTAAATTTAATCTCATTTAACTTTTGATTTATGAGCTCCTAGTTGCAAACTTTTATGTACTGTTGATTCATCATTAATACTGTAATTAATATTTTTAGTGTGGGGGTTAATTTTTAATGCTTCTTATTTCAAAATTGTTCATGGGAGACAGGAAGGACAGCTTAGTGTAGTAGAATCTTGCCATGTTCTAGAATTAAACCAAATTAAAAATTTTTCATGTCTTCAGATTTATGACTAGAAAGGGCTTTCCCTAATGTGAAAATATTGTATCTGGCCATTCCTCTCGTTCACTTAGGTCTAATAAAATGATTTAATGTATTATGTAATAAAATTCATTTGCAATATAGCTGCTGAATATAAGTATTTGTCATCTGGTCCAAATCATTCTGCCTTTTATTTCCAAATATCTAGGAATAAAGATTTTTAGCAATTGGGCCTCCCTGGTGGCGCAGCGGTTGAGCGCTGGGTTGCGAAGCTGCCCGCAGCCTCTGCAGCGCCGGTTCAATCCCCAGCTGCTCACCGGCCACCGGAGGAGGGTCCCACATGGCGCGCAGACCTCTCCTGCCGCCCGCTGCTCCCCTCAGCAGTGTGCTTCGGTCCTTCTGCCTGCTCTGCTCCCTGCTCTGGCTCTGGTGAATTCTCTCACCCTCCCGCGCTTCTGACTGTACCCAGTGCTTGTATAAATAAATAAATGAATAAATAAATAAATAAATCTTTAAAAAAAAAAAATTTAAAAAAAAAAAAAAGATTTTTAGCAATTGCTCATCTGTAAAATGGAGATATCATAAGATTATTGTAAGAAATAAACAAAGTCTAAAAATTACTAATCTTAATACTTGACATGTAGGAAATATTTAATAAATATTGCCTACTGTTAGGAAATGGGATTGACCCCGTAGTGACAAAGGGAATCCACAAAGAAAGCCATAATTTGGTTAAATGTACTATTTAGAAACATTAGCAAAAGCAGTTTAGATTGTTTTCTCAACCAGGGTTCTTCATCTCAGTCACAAAACACAGAAGATTTGGTGACTATTTTCTCAGTTTATACCAATGATACTTTCATAGTCAGTAATATTTCAGATGCATAGGGAAAAAGATAATTCATTCCAAAGAGTAGGCACCATTATAACTTAATCATTGTGTGAGCTGTTTACAAAAACTCAGATTGGGCCTCCGTGGTGGCACAAGGGGTTAAGGCACAACCTATAAAGCTATCTGCAGCCACTACAGCACGAGTTTGATCCCCGGCCAGGGAGCTACCCACATGGTGCAGCAGACCTCTCTTGACTCGTCTGCTGCTCCCCTCAGCAGTGTATTTCAGTGGCTCTGCCTGTTCTGCTCCCCACTCTGTCTCTGGTGAATCCTCTCACCATAACTCCACCTCTGGCCTGTGCCCCAGTTCTTGTTTGCATAAAATAAAGAAATCTTTTTTAAAAAATTAAAAAAAAATAAAAAAAACTCAGATTGGTAAGGACTCATTAATGGTAGTAAACAAAATATTCATGATATTGACCACACAAGGAAATCAGATTGAGTAGTCATGTAGTTAAATAAGGGGTTTTTCAAATTGAAGTACTTGTCTAGCTAAACTTATAGGAAGGCTCAGGAGAAAGGGGATGATATATCAGAAAGGAAGACAGGATTATGGAGGAATCAGTAAGACAGGGAGATTCAAATGCGTCTTAAAAATTGGTTAATACCCTTTCTAAACAAATTAAATTGCAATGAGAACTTGAAAAGTGCATTACTGTCTTTATAAGACCATTTTCTTTTAATTTGTTGTTTTGGTGCTGCTGCAGAGTAAAGGAGTTTGGAATTAGTCCATCAGACATTCCCTTCTCACAGGGTAGTGGCAGTCGCCCTGATCTCTCTCCTTCTTATGAGTATGACGACTTTTCTCCTTCGATTACCAGGTCTACTTCATTCTATACATAAGATCTTTATTTTAATAGTTTCTTTTGAATTGTGCTATGTATAAATGTCTCATATTTCTTTGTCCTGAGCCATTTTTTTTTCATTTTCATTTTCATTTTGCTTGGCAGGTGGTGTGGTTGTACTGCATGATCTTCATTTTTATATACTTTATTAATTTATTTGCTTTAAATGTTAATTTAGAAATCATACTTTGTATTTCCTCTTACTGTGTTTAAGGATGATGTCATCTTTGCATTTACTTTTATTCTATACAGTCTTAATTTCCTAGTAAGGAAATAACAAGGATTCTGTTGACTTTGAAAGAATACCCTCTCCCAAATGTATGCATTTTAATCTTTACACTTAAGAAATTAAGTTATTTCACACATATCTCTTAACTGAAGATTAAGACTACCAGAAATCTGCAGAATGTATTAAATTCTCTGATTTTGGCAAGAATCCATCTATTGACCTAAATGCCATTTTGTTAACCATTTTCTGCAGTGAGTCTTTTAATTTAATTGCAATAAGTTTTTTTTTACTTTGCTTATTCCTAATTCTCAATTATTATACATTATAATTATATTCGAAATAATTTTAAGTTCCTAAATAAATTCCTAAAATTAAAAGTTTCACATTCCTTTAGAGTTCCATGGATTTCATATGTATATGTCATTTGGAAAGCTGACATCAGTCTTACTGTATTAATTGAATTGTCTGTATATTGAATAAGTTGATATTTTCTTATTCCTCTGCATGAGTTTTGTTAATATTGGCTATTTCTTATGTATTTACAGGGTGAAAGAATTGACTGTTGATCCAAGTGCTGCTGGTGATGTTCGTCCAATAATGCATCATCCACCAAATCAGATTGATGACTTAGAAGCACAGTGGGGTGTGGGAAGTTCCCCTCAGAGAGACGATCTAAAACTTCTCTGTGAACAAAATGTAAGTGACTTAATAATGCAATTATCTAATCTTAGTTTATCAGTAGTAAAATTTTATAATTGAAACTGTCATCTAAATCTGTGGCTGGCAAATTATAGCTAATAGGATAGCCATCTGTTTTTACAAATAAAGTTTTATTGAAATATGACCATGTTCATTTACTTTATAGGTGCTTTCTTGCCATAGTAGAAGTGATAAAGACCATGTGACTCATAAGCCCCCAAATATGTATTGTCAGGCCCTTTCAGAAAGATTTCTGATTCTTATGTGTTACTCTTTTTTCCCCCCAGATTTTATACCGGTATTAAAATGTGGGGATTTTTTTTTTTTTTTTTTTTAAGATTTATTTATTTTTATACAAGAGCTGGTGTACAGGCCAGAGGAGTGGGAGGGTGAGAGGATTCACCAGAGACAGAGCGGGGAGCAGAACAGGCAGACAACTGAAATGCACTGCTGAGGGGAGCAGCAGGTAAGACAGGAGAGGTCTGCTGCGCCATGTGGGATTCTCGCCGGCCAGCCAGGAATCGAACCAGTGCTGCAGATGCTGTGGACAGCTTTACAGTGCTGCGCTCAACCCGCTGCGCCACCGGGGAGGCCCAAAATGTGGGGATTTTTAAAGTAATAGGGTGAAAAGAAAATCAAAGAATTATATCTATAATATATCATATATAAAGCTTAAAAATAAAGTGAAAGAACTTTGTATACTTGTATATGTATTAAAGGGACACATAAAATATATCAAAAATTAAACATAGCAAAGTGCTAGCATTTGTTTGGTCACTTTCTATAGGTATGAAATGTTTAGTGAATTTCACAATTTAAAATTTTTATTTCGGGCCTCCCTGGTAGCACAAGGGTTAAGTCTCAGCACTGTCAAGCTATAGCCAGCCACACTGCAGCATGAATTCAATCCCTGGCCAGGGAGCTATGCCACAGGCCTCTCCTGTCTGGCCTGCTGCTCCCCTCAACAGTGTATTTCAGTTAATCTGCCTGTTATGTTCCCCACTTTGTCTCTGGTGAATCCTCTCACCCTCCACACGTGCTCTGGCCTGTACCCCAGTTCTTTTATGCATAAATAAATAAAAATAAATACAATTTTTATTTCCCCAATTACTCAAAAAATAATAAAATATTGCATCTGTTGTATAAGGACAAAGAGGAATAAATAACCAAAAAAATTGCAAATTATATACATTTTCACATAATTCTTTTAATAATTCCTTTCAGTAGTTACTTAACTTCATTTTAAAAATGTATACTCGGGCCTCCTGGGTGGCGCAGCGGTTGAGCGCTGGGTTGGCAAAGCTGCCCGCAGCCTCTGCAGAGCCAGTTCAATCCCCGGCTGCTCCCCGGCCACTGGAGGAGGGTCCCACATGGCGCGCAGACCTCTCCTGCCGCCCGCTGCTCCCCTCAGCAGTGTACTTTGGTCCTTCTGCCTGCTCTGTTACCCTCTCTGGCTCTGGTGAATTCTCTCACCCTCCTGTGCTTCTGACTGTACCCAGTGCTTGTATAAATAAATAAATAAATCTTTAAAAAAAAAAAGTATACTCTATATAGTTTCTTTCATTTCCCACTAAGAACCCTATTGTGTTAATTTCTTTTTTTTTTTTAAAGTTTATTTATTCATACAAGAACTAGGGTACAGGCCAGAGGTGTGGGGGGTGAGAGGATTCACTAGAGACAGATTGGGGAGCAGAACAGGCAGATCCACTGAAATACACTGCTGAGGGGAGCAGCGGATGAGTCAGAAGAGGTCTGCTGTGCCATGTGGGTAGCTCCCTGGCGGGGGTTCGAACTTGTGCGACAGTGGCTGTGGATAGCGTCATAGGTTGTGTCTTAATCCCTTGCGCCACCGGGGAGTTCCCTTTTGTATTAATTTCTTATACTGAAAAAAGATACCATTTTAGTTGTTTACTACATGACATACATTTGCTAGGCATTTTATTTATTGCCTGTTGTAATCTTTACAACTTGATATGAAAAATTCTATAATTCGGGCCGCCCGGGTGGCGCAGCGGTTGAGTGCTGGGTTGCGAAGCTGCCCGCAGCCTCTGCAGCGCTGGTTCGATCCCTGGCTGATCCCTGGCTGCTCCCCGGCCACCGGAGGAGGGTCCCACATGGCGCCCAGACCTCTCCTGCCGCCTGCTGCTCCCCTCAGAGTGTACTTCGGTCCTTCTGCCTGTTCCGCTCCCCGCTCTGGCTCTGGTGAATTCTCTCACCCTCCCGCACTTCTGACTGTACCCAGTGCTTGTATAAATAAGTAAATAAGTAAATAAATGAATCTTTTTTAAAAAAAAAAAGAGTTTTTAAAAAAAAGAAAAATTCTATAATTCTATGGTAAAACTAAAGGTCAAGTTATTTGACTAAGATCATATAATTGGTAAGTCCTGAAGCCAGGCAAGGTTGGAATTTCTTATCCAAGGTTAGATGTTATGTCAAGAAGCCTTTTGCTAGCTGCATATTATTTGGAAACAATATAACATTCATCAGTTTTATACTTTCTCAAAGGGAGTATTAGAGTCCAAATTATAGAAATGGGCGTGCCATTTTTAATTACTATGTTCCAGATTTCTCTATTAATAAAGTAGGGTTTAATGCAGTAGTTGCACAAGTGACTTGGTGCACCTTGAGAAAAATGTATGATGAGATTTTGTTGTCATAACTAGGGTGATGCTACTAACATTTAGTGGGTAGTGACTAGGGATGCTAAACATTGTATGTACAGGACAGCCCACCCTCTACCCACCCCAAATGTCTCAAAGTTTACATAATCTGGTTTAAAGTAAGAGTTCTAAACTTTGAAGCATAGTAGATAATGAACTGAAGTTGAGATCCAGGGTTTAATCCATCCTCTTCCCAAAAGTTTTGAAGGAGATTATAATTGCTCTTAAAATCCTTAAGCCAAACCTTTACTGTAACTAGATATGGTGAAGCAGAACAAGATAGGACTCCTTATAGTAGATCTTACGTTTTATTTTTGCATCTGTTTAGTCTCTGCAGGACCTTTATAGTTTGGTTAGGTAACCAGAACTAAACTACAGGCTTTAGGCATGACATCAAGAGTTCTTGCAACCTCCTCCATGTTTGAGAGAACATGTATTTCTTTCAACTTTCCCATCCTCCAAGGATCTTTTTTTTTTTTTTAAATTTTTAAATTTTATATACTTTTTACATCATTTTTTCATTTTTGCACAATGTATGCATTTTCATCTTGGCTGTAGTCCCCATACAATTCCCACCACCCTTGTTTTGATCCTACTCCCTTCTCCCCGCCCCCCGCCCCCGCAGTGTGTCTCTGGTTTATAGTTGCTTGTTCATTTTGATTTTCACTTTAGTATAATTAGTCTTTTTCCTGGTCCCTTATTTAGGTTTTCTAAATTCCTGCTATGAGCAAGACCATCTGGTATTTTTCTTTTTCTTTCTGGCTTATTTCACTGAGCATGATCCCTTCCAGCTCCATCCATGTTGTTGCAAATTGCATGTGTTTATCTTTTTTGATTGCTGAGTAATATTCCATTGTATATATGTACCACATCTTCTTGATCTAGTCATCTTTTTTGGGCATTTGGGTTGTTTCCATAGCTTAGCTATTGTAAATAGTACTGCTATAAACATAGGGGTGCAGGTGGCCTTTGGAATTAATGTTTCTGTATCCTTTGGGTAAATACCTAGGAGTGGAATTACTGGATCATATGGCAGCTCCATCTTTAGCAGGTTGAAGAATCTCCACACAGTGTTCCATAGTGATTGGACCAGTTTGTACTCCTACCAGCAGTGCAGGAGAGTTCCTTTTTCTTCACATCCTTGCCAACATTTGTTGTTGCTAGTTTTTTTAATATGTGCCATTCTCACTGGTATAAGATGGTATCTCATTGTAGTTTTGATTTGCATTTCCCTGACTACAAGTGATGTTGAACATTTTTTTTAAGATTTATTTATTTATGCATATAAGAATGGGGGTGTAGGCCAGAGGTGTGGGGGGTGAGAGGACCCACCAGAGAGCGGGGAACTAAACAGGCATTATGACTGAAATACACTGTTGAGGGGAGCAGTGGGTGAGCCAGGAGAAGACTGCCGCACCATGTGGGTAGCTCCCCAGCCAGGGATCAAACCCGTGCTGCAGTGGCTGTGGACCACTCCATAAGCTGCATCCTAACCCCTTGTGCCACCGGGGAGGCCGATGTTGAACATTTTTTCATGTGCCTGTTGGCCATTTGCATTTTCTCTTTGGAGAAGTTTCTTTTTAACCCTTCTGCCCATTTTTTTGACTGGGTTGTTTACTTTGTTTTTGTTGAGTCTCGTCAGCTCTTTGTAGATTTTTGTGATTAGTCCCAAGGAACTATCTTGAGGTTGTTTAGCATTAGCTATTTGTTAATTATTAGTGAATGTGTACAAATCCTTGTTGCTGTTATTTTTTTTTTTTTTAAGATTTATTTTATGTGTACAAGAGCTGGGGTGTAGTCAGAGGTGCAGGGTTGGAGGGCGGGTGAGAGGATTCACCAGAGACAGAATAAGGCAGATTGACTGAAATACACCGCTCAGAGTAGTAGTGGACGAGACAGAAGAGGTCTGCTGCGCCATATGGGTTAACTCCCTGGCTGGGATCGAACTCATGCTGCAGTGGCTGGCGATAGCTTGATAGTGCTGAGACTTAACCCTTTGTGCCACCAGGAAGGCCTCCTGTTACTTATTCTTAATAAGATACATTGAAATGGAATATTGTGTAAGATATGTCCTAGAGATAAAACTCATGTACAGGTAGATAGATTAGAAGATAGTCAAGTGCTTTAGAATACCAGAAATAGAAATAGTTGTATACACACAATACTATTAATATGTTACATGGAACTGATAGGAATTTATATTATATCTTGAGGCAAAGGGAATAAAAAGGACATCCTGGGCTTGAGAGGAGGTAGGTAGGTAGGTAAAATTAGTAAAGGTATGTTGAGTGTGTTTTATCAGAGACAGATTATGAGAGAATAGTGCCTATATGCCCTGATTAAAGGCCCATTTTTTTTTTCAAAGAGAAGACAAAAAGTTTTTTGGACAATTTGATTATGTAAAATTTTAGGGATGGTAACTTGTTAATGAAAGAGTTAAATACCTACTTACAATATAATTTAACCAAAATAATGCACACATATTTAGACTCCTGTAATTTTTTTTTTTGATGTTGCTTTTTCTACTCACTTTTATTTTTAAAATAAATTCTTTACCACTAAAACCACATTTTGAGGAAATAAATAGATCATTAGATTTTGGAGTTGGGAAGGATGGTCAAAAAGAGGGCCTCCGTGGTGGCCCAGGTGGTTGAGCGCTGCACTGTGAAGCTGTCCACAGCCTCTGGAGCGCGGGTTCGATCCTGGCCGGCCAGCGAGAATCACACATGGTGAAGTAGACCTCTCCTGTCTCACCTGCTGCTCCCCTCGGCAGTGTTATTTTGTCAGTCTGCCTGTTAGGGTCCCCGCTCTGTCTCCTGTGAATCCTCTCACCCTCCCGTGCATCTGGCCTGTACCCCGGTTCTTGTATAAAAATAAATAAATCTTTAAAAAAAAAAGAAAGAAAGAAAGCCTAGCCCAAACAGGCCAATGAAAAGATGTTGATCGGGCCTCCCCTCATGGCGCAGTGGTTGAGCGCTGGGCTGTGAAGCTGCCTGCAGCCTCTGCAGCGCCAGTTCGATCCCCGGCCGCTGGCGAGGGTCCCACATGGCGCGCAGACCTCTCCTGCCGCCCGCTGCTCCCCTTAGCAGTGTATTTCGTTGGTCTGCCTGTTCTTTTCCCTGCTCTGGTGAATTGTCTCACCCCCCTCCTCACTTCTGACTGTACCCAGTGCTTTTATAAATTAAAAAAAGAAAAGAAAAGATGTTGATCATCTTACTAGGAAAATGCAAATCAAAATACAAGTCAAAACAGCAATGAAAAATCACTGCACACTTGGGAGAATGGTTATTATCTGAAGGGCAAGAAATAGCAAGTGCTGAAGAGGTTGTGGAAATAAGGAACCATTCTCACTGTTGGTGAGAATGAAAGTTGGTGCAACCATTATAGAAAGCAGTCTGGGAATTCTTCAAAAAATTAAAAGTAGACATTCCATATGATCCATTATCCTACTTCTGGGTTTTTATCCAAAGAATATAAAAACACTAATTCAAAGAGAGATCTGTACTGCACGTTCATTGCAGCACTATTTATAATAAGTATTGTAAATAACTTAAATGCCCATTGATAGATGATTTGATAAAGAAAATCTGATGTGGGCCTCCCCGGTGTCGCAGCGGTAGAGCGCTGGGTTGCGAGTCTGCCCACGGCCTCTGCGGCGCAGGTTCGGTCCCCGGCTGCTCCCCGGCCACCGGAGGAGGGTCCCACATGGCTCGCAGACCTCTCCTGCCGCCCGCTGCTCCCCTCAGCAGTGTACTTTGTCCATCTGCCCATTCTCCTCCCCGCTCTGGCTCTGGTGAATTCTGGCTCTGGTGAATTCTCTCACCCTCCCGCGCTTCTGACTGTACCCAGTGCATGTATAAACAAAACAAACAAACAAAAACACACAAAATAAATAAATAAAAAAAAACATGCCTCTAAAAAAAAAAAAAAAGAAAATCTGATGTAACTGATTAGTACTCAGCTATAAAAGATGAAATCCTTCCATTTGTAATAACATGGATGCACCTAGAGAGTACTAAGCGTAGTTACATCAGTCAGATGGAGAAAGACATGATTTTACTCACATATAGTATAGAGAAAGCAAACAGATGAATTAAATGACACATAAAAAAACTCTTATGCCAGAAGACCAAATTAGTGGCTACCAGAAGGAAGGGGTAGGGGGCTTGGTAAATCAAATAAAAGGATAGAACTGGACTATTAGTGATGAACTTAATGTAGTATATAGAGATGTTGATTTATAATGATAAACACCTAAAACAATGTTATAATGTAATGTTACTTCAATAAAAGTAGCAAAATAAAAGAAAGCTAAGTCAAAGAAATATTGACTTAATGAATGTCATATGTGACTATAGGTTTTTGTTGAGGAAATGAAATTATCAGCTAAGTTTTCAATTTAACTGTAAATACTGATAAACTATGCAGTGTGGTGTGGAAATGAAGATTTAGTTAAGAAATGACATCTTGGGCCCCCCTGGTGGCGCAAGGGGTTTAGACGCAACCTATGAAGCTATCTGCAGCCCCTGCAACAAAAGTTCTATCCCCGGCCAGGGAGTATCCACATGGCGCAGGAGACCTCTCCTGACTCTCCCACTGCTCCCCTCAGCAGTGTATTTCAGACAATCTGCCTGTTCTGTTCCCCACTCTGTCTCTGGTGAATCCTCTCACCCACTATACCTCTGGTCTGTATCCCAGTTCTTGTATGCATAAATAAAATAAATCTTGAAGGAAAAAAAAAAAAGAACTGACATCTGCAGAAAACTAATTTGATAGTCACACAGTAAAAAAAAATTATTAATTAAAAGTAAACAACACTGAAGAAATATTTTAGTAAATTTACAGCCTGCAGTAAATGTGTTTTTGCAAGTTACTATTCCAAAACAGACTGCTTTTTTTAGGATAATTCTATATAAATCCTGGACTAAGTGAAAATTACTCCTTACTGATATGTACCACTGCAGTTGCCTCTTGAAATGACATTTTTGTAAATGACATAGAAAAACTTCTTATTTTAAGGAAGAAGAAGTTTCTCCACAATTGTTTACTTTCCATGAAGCTGTCTCACAAATGGTAGAAATGGAAGAACAAGTTGTAGAAGATCACAGGGCAGTATTCCAGGTAAAGTAAGACAGGATCTTTCATCAAAAGTGTTTCTTTACATAAATTAGCTAAAACTTTCATAATTCTTTGAAATATTTGTGTTTGTGTGTATGTGTGTAAGAAATAGAACATAGCATATGTTGTGTAGACTGGATGATAGCTATAAGCAACCTTTCTTTGCACTATGGTGAAAAGACCTAGTCCACTACCATCCTCTCACTTACTTGCTTTTTTCAGTTGTCCATTTTTAAGAGAAGTAATGAACTTCTACCCTTTACTACCCCTTTCTTCATTTTCAGGAAGTTTATTTGACAGCAGTTAAGAGTCTTCTGAGGCTGTCTGAGCTTTTGAGGAATTACCTGTCTTTGCAGAAAAGGAAGACTGCTTTAGAAGTGGTGTATGAGTATGGTGTCTATCAGTGGCAGAAGAGTAAGGGGTGATACTCCCTCCCAGTAGCAGTAACTAATTCTTTAGGTATTGATCCCATTGTATGTTGAACCTAGTAAAAGCATTTTTACTCTGTGATCCTCACCTTCATCCCTCACAATCCTCTCCTTCTCCCCATTAAAAATAACTTAATTATTTATGAGTATGCCTTCTCTGGTGTTGAAATCTGTTATCTGTAAACAAATATTAACATACCTTAGTTCTAGTGTATTCAAACACCTTGATAAAGGACTAAAAAATATAAGGGGACACTTCATTTTATTTCAGAATTGAGTGTACATTCGTTTTAGTTAAACCCTTATGGGTATCTTTTTTAGAGATCTAGGTGATAGACTAAATCAAGGACAGTTGTTTAAGATAATTGTTGTCTGTCCTCTTGTCAAATAAGGTCATATGAAAACCATTCTTCCCCACTGTGCACTTTTATGATAAAGTCTCATGGTTCGTTTTTTTGTTTATTGGCAGGACTAGGTTTTCTTTGAATCAAGTGTTCCTTTAGTAATTCCATTTATTGTTCTTCTATTTCTCTTTAAAATAGGGTTTTGTTTTTAAAAAGTAAGTATATAGCAGAAAGAAATGAAAATCTTGGTGTGTATGTATGTTAATTAATATATATTTAATCTTCTAGTAGATATTTATTCCTTGTTAACCAGTTCTGCCTGGTGATAAATAATCTGGTTCAGTTAGCTATTAAATTGCATTAATGTTTGAAAATTGCAACTGTATGTTACCTAAAGTGTGAGAATGTGCCCAGTTTTACATCCAAAAATTCTTTACTTTAGAGTGATTTAACTTGTAAATAATCCATACGATTTATGACATTGCTGGAAAAAGAAACTCATAAATTGCACATATCTAAAATCAATCAAGAATCAAAGGATTTGGGGTCTCCTTGGTTGTGCAAGGGGTTAAGTCTCAGCACTGTGAAGCTATCCACAGCCACTGCAGCACGAGTTTGATCCCCAGCCAGGCAGCTAACCCAAATGGCACAGCAGACCTCACCTGTCTTGCCTGCTGCTCCCCTCAGTGGTGTATTTCAGTCGATCTGCCTGTTCTGTTCCCCACTCTGTCATGGGTGAATCCTCTCACCCCTGGTACCTCTGGCCTGGTACCCCAGCTCTTGTATGCATAAATATTTTTTTTAAAAAAGAAAGGTTTCATTGAAGTATTTATGAGTGGTAAGAAACTACTATTTTGCAATTCATTCAGCTGTCCTAAAATTGGCTGTACATTGGTCCCTTATAGTCATACTTTTGAATAGCTACTATTTATTAGAATTACCTTTTGTCCTAATCACAAAGAGACCTCAGATGGATATGTTAATTCCAGAGATTTACAAATAATTGGGTTACCATAGACCATGTTAGATAGCTTTACTTTACTATATTCTTTTCCTAGTTTTAGGGATAGCTGTTAAGGATTTGAGACTTACTCTGTTCATTGATATTTATGTGTTCAATTCATTCCCTCCTTCAAACCCCCATGTAAGATACAGTAAAAGAAGAAAAATGAAGCCTCTTGCTTGACTTACCATATATTGTGTGTTCCAATTTAAAGAATTATTTCCTAAGTTTACTCTATAAATGATTTTTTTTTAATTTTAGATGGCTATTAGTATTTTAGATATTATCATTTTTGGTATGTTTGATTATATTTAGCAAACATAAAATTTATAAGTTGTTGTGTCTTACAAAAAGGGTTATTGGATTACTAAATTTCTGTCTTTCTAGGAATCTATTCGATGGTTAGAAGATGAAAAGGCTCTCCTAGAGATGACTGAAGAAGTAGACTATGATGTAGATTCATATGCCACACAACTTGAAGCTATTCTTGAGCAAAAAATAGACATTTTAACTGAGCTGCGGGGTAATTCTTTCCTTATATTGTTTAAAATCAGCTTAATATTTGTATTTTGTGATTACTGGGGAGATTTCATATTGCAAGGAGACATAGGAAGTGCAAATCATGAGCATCAGTTAACATCTTTCCATGGGTATAAAGACAAAACTAACCATGTTTCTTCTGAAAAAGAAACGTGGCTTATCATTATAAGTACTCTCTAATCATCAGTCTTTTGAGAAGATGGCAGACATCTTCTAATTAAAATGTGGAAATATGTATTTAACAAATTTGTAAATTTTATATTCCCATATCAGAATTAATACTCTACTAGACTGATACTTCTCAGAACCCTTTAGTCTATTCAAGTCACTTTCATAGCCTATCTACAGAACTTTCTGTTTATCTTGTGTCTTTTCTTTTGAACACTTGTTTTCAAAAAATCAAGGGGGAGATTTCAAGACAACTACGCTTTCTACTTTGCTTATGAAGGGAAGCCTGTAATTTACCCACATGCTACATCTTCTTGACTTTTTCTTACCTCTGTATAGCTTCAGATATGCATTTATTGTTATGTGCTAATTTCCTAGGCATTAGCAAATTAGCTGTTTATATGCAAGTGGGCATCTGGATGATGTGTTTGTACCTGCAGTGCAACATGAAACCAGATTGGAAATGTTTTAGGCACCAAAAAAGCTGCTTAATTCTTTAAACTTGTTCTTTTGTGAGGTTGGTTATATGAAATCATATCCTATAGTGAAAGTTTTCCTAATGCAGAATTGTTTGTGCAGGTGTGGGGTTTCTAAATTTACTTGTTTTTCATGCTTTCCATTTTCAAGACTTGAAGTATTTTGATCATTTTTATAATCTGCCATATAATTCACAAGCAGCTTTTCATTATGTGTTTTATTCAGAAGATAGGTAATAATGCATTTTAACATTTTTCTTCATAAAACATAGCATTCAACTTAGTTGACTGCTATTCCTTTTCTCAGAATTTATGTATATCATCATATCTGGAACATTGAAGAAATTACCATATATATAGATATATATTGCATTTCTCATTCCTTAGAAATTTTTTTTTACCATCTGTAGGATATGGCATTAATATTAGAAGTTTGAGAGTTATTATTTTTCTATTAGCAGCCATCATATTCAGAAACTCTTTAACTCTTCCTGAATTTCAGGAATGTCAACTTTTTAAAGACATTTTATACTTTTGAAGAGAGGAAAAACATGGAGGTTTTTGTATGTTTCTTCTGAAGGTCATAACCTATGCAATACTGAACTGGGTAATTCTTTGTTAAGCAGTGACGTCCTGTGTATTGTACAATACTTATAAGCATTCTTGGTCTCTTGACCAGATGACAGTAGTGCCACCCCAGTTGTGATAATCAGAAATGTCTGTGGACATTACCAAATGCCCCCTTGGGGACAGAAATCACCCCCCCCCATTGAGAAACAGTCATGGAAAGATTTCACAGCTAGTACTTCTGTCAATTTATTTACCTATGTCTTATTCTTACGTAAGTCTGAATTTAGTACACGTTAAATGGAGACAATTTTAAGACCAAGAAATTTATTATCCTATAATCCCCCTTCCTAGTCTCACTTCATATGGAAAAAAAAAGACGTTTTTAACATTCAGATATCTTTAAAAATTCCACAGCTTATAAAGTGGAAATGGGAGTAGAAATTTCCTAATATTGAGAGAAGAAATATCTATTTTACAATTTAATAACATTCATAGTATTCCTTTTGTACACAACTGTACATACTTAATACGCATAGCCTGCTACAATTTAAAAAAGAATATTAAGTTGAACACTGAAATATGCTAAACAGAATAGAAATCTGATAATGAAAAAATAGGTATTTCCAGGAATCTGTAATGATTACTGTTACTTTACCATAACTGAACATTGTATTTATTAGTTCTGAGTTGCTGGACAACAAAGAACAAAGGCAGAAATCCTGAGTTAATGCTATAAGTTGTTTTGATAAGCCCCACATAGTTGTATACTGTATTTCAAGCAATACAATACTTATTCCCTTGTTCTTTTTTTTCCCCCCCAAGATAAAGTGAAATCTTTCCGTGCAGCTCTACAAGAAGAAGAACAGGCCAGCAAGCAAATCAATCCGAAGAGACCCCGTGCCCTTTAAATTAGTATTTGCTGCTAAAGGATCCCCAGAACCCTCACTATTGTAATATAAAATGAGTCAGTTGTAAGGGCCATTTGAATGTTTGAAATTTTAAAGTGTATGTGGAAAATGTCTTTGTCCCTTCACCTGAATGACATTTCAATTTTGTGAAACACTCCTTTGTCTACAAAATGCTTCTAATCCAGGAGGCAAAACCAAGATTTGGGAATAGTGAAGCATTTTGTTTCATTTACCCAAATAGTGATTTACTTTTGGAGATCCTTGCCAATTTTATTTTCTATATGATTAAGTAAGATTGTGGACCTGATCCAGAAGTCAATAGTAGGGGGAAGCCACAGCATTTCCTACTTCCTTGGTTCAATTTTTGTAGCAAGACTGAGCAGTTTTAAATCATTTGCGTGCATGCATACCTCATCAGTGGTTGTACATACCTTGCCCACTTCTAGAGACAGCTGTGCTCTCCTCTTCCTGCTTTGTGCCTTGACTAAGGCTATTGACCCTAAATTTCTGAAGCACAGCCAAGATAAATTACATTCCTTATTTGTTATTGTAAATTACCTTTAATGTGTGTACATTTTTACTGTATTTGAGACATTTTTTGTGTGTGACTAGTTAATTTTGCAGGATGTGCCATATCATTAAATGGAACTAAAGTCTGTGACAGTGGACATAGCTGCTGGACCATTCCATCTTACATGTAAAGAAATCTGGAATTATGATTTTAAAACCATATGACATGGTTCTAATTTTCTTAGCATTTTCTTTGTAAAGAACTAAAATATAAAGTAGTTGGTGTATAATAAAAAGTAATGAAATTCTGAGAAGAGTTTTATCTTAGGATAATACATTTATATGCAGTGTGTGTTCCAGTGTGGTATTAACAAGATTAATAGTGCAATTTGATCCTTACCAATACGATTATTTAAGTTGAAGTGTCCATTAGCACCAAAACATGTACCTTTTTAAATGTACTATTAAAGGAAATTGGCTTCTGATGCATGAATGATTACATGTACATTGAAAGTAGTCCATAATAGAACTGTTAGTTTAAGCCAAGTGTAGACAGTACCTAACTCCCTTGAAAAAGAATGAAACTAAAGAGATGATTTTGCCTTAAGAGGCAGCTCTAACCCAAGCTCTATTATTACCTAATGTGTGATGTTTCACCAATAAGTTGGTGTAGGGTATCCTACTTTATAAATGGTGGCGCTTATTTTTACAGTTAACTACTCCAAGGAAGTGACCACTTTTCATGTAAATATTTTCTTAAAAGATTTATATCTCTCTCTAGGAGTTTTCCCTCAGTTCCCACAATAGAATCCAGGAGCAGGTTAAGAACAAAAAGTCTCCCAAGGATATCTTGTTTTGATTTACTCTAGGGAACTGCTTAGTTCATTCATATGAGCCCAAAGGGAAGCTATGAATAGAGAATCATGAGCCAGACTCCCGATTTCACTGTTCATAGAACTCAGAGGATAGTAGTAGGAAACCCTAATATCATGGTGAAAAGCCCCTCTGTAAACTTGAAATATAGAACAAATGTAGAACAATGTGTTTATTAATAAATGTAATCTATGGAACGAGTTTTAGAGATAATTTACTTCAATACAATCACCTTTGTTTTGGAAGGGACTCAGGTTTTCTTGCAGCTATATGTTCTATTAGTGTTTATTTCCAAGAGAAGAGGAAAAATGGAAAACTGTTACTAATGACCTTGCAGAGGCTGTTTTAAAAGGTAGTTTTTGAGAAGAACCAATCTTTAAAGGGCAATAAAGAGATGTGAACTTGTTCATTTTAAAGCACAAATTATTATTTAAGTTAGTGGGTATTGCTTCTGGAAGGTCTCCTTACATCCAAACGTACTGCCTTTATACTATAATGGCTTCATTCTGATCATTAGTAAAGGTATTTGAAAAATCAGTATCAGAAAAGATCTTAGTAGTATAATCAAGTCCTTCAGTTTCACAAAAAGAAAATTGAAGGCCAGATAAGGGATTAAAACTCAGCAAGTTCATAGGGACAGACAGAGGGGGAAATGAGTTAAATCTTAAAATTACCCTATAAAGATACAGAATGGTACAAGTGAAATTTGCAAAATAACTTTCTTATAAGTATATTTAATATTTATGTAAAAAAAGTGGCTTGATGCAGCTATTATTTAAAGAATAATTTTTTAGTCTGGTTTAAGCCTTATTTACTTTCTGAGACTTGGAAGCTGATATCCCTATTAAGTAACTAAGAATACTCATTATTTCAATTACATAGGACTGTTTTAATATCACTTTGAAAAGAGGTTCCAAAATAATCTTTTAGGCAAACCTAGGTTTATTCAATGTACCTTTGTTAATTTGGAAACACTCCTATTAGATAAAACTAAATATTGATGAAGATTTACTAATTTCCTTATATAAATAAGCTACTATAATTTTTTATTAAAGGATGTTAAGACTAAGTATTATAATTTAAACATAGTAGCTAAGATTCATTTATGACATCTTGAAATTCTCAGCCTGATATTTTTAAAATAGGTTAAAAATAAACATCAGGAATATGAGGAAGTAATAGAAATTTTATTATCCAGAATAATCATGAATACTGAAAGCTTATTTTGTGAAAAAAATGGCTAGTTGGGATTTTTTGGCTTTGGAGTTGAAGGGCAGAGATTTGATTTTAACTTTAAAGTTAATTTTGATTTACAGAACCCTTTGCAATTTTGTTAGACCTAGGATTATTTCTCCCAGGAAAAATACGCAGTCTTAAAAGTATTTCATTTTAGTTAAGCATCCTCATCTTACAGGTAAGGACTCATGCCCAGAAGTAATTTGCCTGGTAATCACATGCTGGCAGTAGAAAACTCAGGCTTACGCAGAACTCTAATGTAGTCTATGATGCTACAGGATAACTAAAGGGATAGGCAGTGATAGAAGTTGTATAGACTAGAGAAATAATGAGAGAAGCAAAAATAAAAACATTTTAAGAAACATTTTACTATACACACGAATAAGAAATGGTATGGGGAATATGTGACTTTAGCATATTTTAATTTTTTTACTTCTTAAGGGATAAAGGTCTAAAGAGCTGAAGGCCTAAGAGATCACAGTAATATATATAACAAAGAAAGTAGAAGAGTAACATCTTTATACAATAAACTTAAAAAAGATAAGTGTCAAGTAGTTGTGCGTGTCTGCGGCTCTTGACTTGAAGATTATCAGTATATAGATTGGACCCTAACCTGTGTTAAACATTAGAGAAACCAAAATTAAAAAAAATTTTTAACTTGGTACTTGGAATTGACTTATAAATTCAGAGTAATAAATAAGTGGTGACAATAGTAATCTGAAAGCAAAAACAGTCCAAGCACAGGGTCCTAGAGGAGCAAAATTATCGTACACCTTCCCAAATTATTAAAGATATATAATTCCAGTTTCGTTTCTTGAGTTTGAAAAATTGTTTCCCAGATACCTAAGAAAAGTGGATACCTTCTGCATTGAATCCATGTAGCAGTCTGAAAAAAAGCCAAAATGGGATGGTATTGAAGTTAATTTGGAGCATGTAACTGCATATATGTAGTTACTATACCATGGGTTCTAAAACATGAACACATCAAACCTATGAATCCCATCCACTCTTCACAGTAGTCATTAAGGAAATTATTCTTCAACTACATCTGTAAGTACATAATTTTGGTGCCTCTTTTGTCATAGTTTTGTCTTAAGATAATTTGATTAAAATTACCTTAAACCTCTACTATTCTAGGCCCAAATTCATTAGCACTTGTTCCACTTGAAATTAGAGGTAGAAGAAAAATGAATAGCTAGTCTCACATGTCTCATCTACCTCTCTGAGGTTACTATTCTTGAGGTTCAAGACTACTGGCAGGTTGCTTTCCTCTTGATACCTATGTACTCATCAAAATCCTAGTTAGCAAACCACATGTAATAAGGTATCTTTCTATTTCAACCTGAGAGTATTTTCAGGAAGGCCAATAGGAAGAGGTCAAGATAGGTTAAAATGTCTAAAAAAATGAAGATAAGTACTCCATGAATAATCTTCAACTCCTAGGATTAATGTCTTACAAAGACTCAGAAGTACTACTAACCTGTCAATAAAGTGAAAAGCCCATTTGTCTTATAAAGAACTACTTTATTTAGAAAAATCAAATCAATGACCAAACTACCCTCATTGTTATTCAATCTCTAGAATATGGATGCTTTAAAAATGAATTGGGACAATAGGCAGAAAGTTGTGCGCAGCGATGGGGTATTAGTTAAGAAAGCAAAGTGTTAGTGATTAAAAATAATGAGTATAGGTTAGTAATAACAACCTGCACGATAGAAGCCTTCTCTGCTTTTGTAAGAATGACTGACTTAAATGGAAGAAAGCTAATTTTATTGCCCAGATAACCAACACCCTTTTTATTTTAGGTATGTAGCACTTCCCTCAGTCTATAAAACAAGTAGTTACTACACCAGTTAGAAATAATCAGAAATATTTTGTATTTAAGGTGTACTTAACATTAGCTATTTACAAAAAAGAAAAAAAAAGATCCAACTATATATACATATATATACACACACATATACATATATATATGTATAAGGATTCTTAAATTTTAATAGGCTAATTTGAAGAGACAAAACCATGAATGGGGGCTGGAGGGAAGAAGCACACACCATAACACACTTTGACAGGCTATTTCCAGGCTTAGACTGTTCTTAAAGAAAATGTTCTTTCTGCTGCAACTAACTAGTCTCCATCTTCTACACCAAATACTATTCCATGTCATGGAAGTGCTATGCAATATCTCCCAGGTAGCATCTTAAACCGCTTAAAAGCCTTTAAATCTAATCTGAAGGTGTCACACTAAAGAAATGTAAACACTTAAGAAACATGTAATTACCTGATGAAGTCATCTATGTCCATGGAACGGGCTCGCTTGTCACTAAAACCTGTGCTGGTTAGGATTTGCTGTATTTTATCTGCTATGCTGAAATCTTCTGGTATTATCTATCAATAAGATTCAGAATAAATGAGCAACATATCTTTAATGAAGTCACCTTGACTCTTTTTTTTTTTTTTAAGTTTAGTAAATCATGAAATAGATACTTTTCATCTCTATTCATGACAGTTTGAAAGCCTGTTAGTTCAGGTAAGAACTGATCTCTAATTAAGCAGTTGATCTTTAAAACATACCAAATGTTCAGAAGATATAAATTAATCATTATACTGCCATTTTCTTAAAAATTCTGAAATAGTTACGTTTCAGTCTGGGGACATCATAATAAAACCTGTAAACTAAATTTTAAAGCAGTTACTACTTTAAAAATAACTTGGCATAGGGCCTTCCCTGGTGGCGCAGCAGTTGAGCGCTGGGTTGCAAGGCTGCCCGCAGCCTCTGCAGCACCAGTTCAATCCCCAGCCAACAGCGAGGGTCCCACAAAAAAAAAAAAAAAAAAACAAAAACAACCTTGGCATCAAACTTTTTTACCTTTTTTTCTAAGATAACCTCTAACCCTTGAGTATATGAAATATTTTATACTTAACAACTTCTATCCAAATATTTTTCTTTATCCAGTTTAACCTTTTCCCACTTAGGCAGGTGTACAAAGACTTGGTCCATTAAAGAAAAAATGGAGATAGCTATGTGGCACATTAATCTATGTTAAGTTCTGAGTCAAAAAATGCAAAGGAAATTTATCTTTGCTCTGTTTAATTAATCTGAAAACTAAAAAGTTACCAAGTATCACATAGTGTATATGGAAATATTTCAATTTCTGGGCACTAAAAGTGATTAAGATGTCAACTTTAAATTTGTAATTGCTATATGAATAACAAACAGATGGTCACAGTTCAGATGGTCCCAGTTCAGTTCATAGCAAATGGTACACGTTTTAAGCTGAGCAAACTACCGCTGAATTTCTATGATTAAAAACTAGTTAAAGAGGGGGCCTCCCTGGTGGCATAAAGCTTAAGTCTCAGCACTATCATGCTATTACCCCCAGCCAGGGAGCTAACCCACGTGGCGCAGCAGACCTCTCCTCTCTCACCAACTGCTCCCCTTGGCAGTGTATTTCAGCAGATGTGCCTGTTCTGCTCCCCACTCTGTCGCTGGTAAATCCTCTCACTCCACACCTCTGGCCTGTATCCCAGTTTTTGTATGCATAAATGAAAAAAATCTTTAAAAAAAAAGGCTAGAGGATAAAGTGCAATAATTAAGGTTGGTCATACCTGTTCTACACAATATATATATTCAGACAGTGGCACTGACCTGTCAATACTCAAATTGTACTAGTTATAGTACACCATTTGTCATATATAATACTGTTTTTTTAAAGATTGAATGAAACAATCTTATAAAGATAGTTGGCAAATAATAATACAGGAATATTTTAAAATTAAAAAACCATTGAAACTATAGTAAGTTTTTGCTTACAGTATTATGGACTGAACAGTGAATTCTGTAATTCTTTTCCAATAGCTGTTGCACTGCACTTGACCTATAGAATAAAGAAGTGACCATTTAAAAATCGGAGGTTACAAATAATTTCCTTTCTGTTTATAAATCTGTGTTCCACATGTTGAAATTAAGGAACTAAAAAAAATTGTCAAGTATTTATACTTTAAAAACAATCACAAACTAGTTATATTTTAAAAGTAATATAACGTTTCTTAAATTCTTAAAGGTTCTAGGCTCCCCACAAAACATGACCTCAAAAAAATTTTTTAATTATAGCTTCAAGTTCCTTTTACTTTTTTCAACTAAATAAACAGCATGAATCTTTCACAAGTGTCTAAGGGATCCACCATACCATTTTTTTTCCCATGGAAAAGTCAGATGTGTGGTCAGTTTGGGGTTTTTTCCCTTGTTCTGCCAGAAAATCCGATCTAATTCTCAAGTTGTGCCTCCCAAAGTTAAGAGGTAAAGGGTGTCCGTTCAGCAGAAATAACCATCATCCAGTAAATCACTAACTCAAGAAAGAAGGCACCCACTATGTGTTCTCTGGACCTTTTAGAAAACATGGATTTGTTCCTTTGGCCACACACATACAAATCTACCAGAAAGATGATACTATAGACATCAAAGGGCTGGGCACTGTTCAAAAAGGAAAGCCCCACAAATGTTACCATGACAAAGCTGGCAGAGTCTAGACCTTTACCCAGCATGCAGTTGGCAAGGGCAAGATTCTTGCCAAGAGAATGTTTTGCCTTGAGTATATTAAGCACTGTTAAGAGCCCAGATAGCTTCCTGAAATGGGTAAAAGAAAATGATCAGAAAAATAAGGAAGCCAAAGAGAAAGGTACTTGGATTTAACTGAAGTGTCAGCTTGCTCCACCCAGAGAATCAACTGTGAACACCAGTGGCACCTGAGTTACTGGAATCTAATCCCTATGATTTAATGGTGTGAAAAGTATGAAACAATGTATCTGGACTATTAAAAAAGAAGGTAGGGCCTTCCTGGTGGCGCAGGGGTTAAAGTCTCAGTGCTATCAAGCTAGTGATAGCCACTGAGACAAGAATTAAATTGCTGGCCAGGGAGCTGACCCACATGGAGCGGCAGACCTCTCCTGTCTCACCCACTGCTCCCCTCAGCGGTGTATTTCAGTAGATCTGCCTGTTCTGCTCCCCACTCTGTCTCTGGTGAATCCTCTCATCCCCCACACTTCTGGTCTAGTTCTTGTATGCATAAATTTAAAAAAATCTTAAAAAAAAATAGAAGGTAAAGTATATCTGGAAATGGATAATCTTTATGCTTTAGGGTATCTGTTCAGGAAAGTACCAAATTCTAGCACTTAGCACAGTATTTGTAGCACTGGTCCTTCTTACATTGTAAATTAGTAAAATACTTACTTAAATGCTGCAGACAGTGTCTTGTTCTTCCTAACAAAGGTGATCCTTACTAGGCCATCCCATTCCTGAAACAAAAAATGGATGTTTTCTTATATCAAACTTCTTGTCCATGTTTGATAGGTATTATTTTGTATTTTAATATATAAAACTATGAGGAACTTTCTAAAATGACAAAAATATTCTACATCTTATTCTGGCTGACACATGCAAAAAGTAAGATACACACTTGATTTTTGTGTACCTCACTGTGTTAGCCACAATTTTTAAAAATCAGAAAAAAATACATAACTGACATATCTGAACAAAGAACATGGCATTTAAGTGTATCATTTTCAAAAAACTAGATTCAAAACACATGATTTAGGATATAATCTGGGTAACACTACCTCACTTCCTTGAAGGAGTCATTAACAAACCACTTGATTTACCACCAGTTACTGACCACACAAGCAATCATGTTTCCATATAAAGTGATTGCAATATGGTTTTATATCAAGTGATTTGGCTAAGTTGCAAAAACAATTTTGATTGAAAGCGTTGCCCATAATATTACTCTAACAATTATTTTCATTTGCTTATTCAAGTCTCATTCAAATTCAGATGCTATATGTCTCCATAGCTATAACTTCGCAAAATGCAATGGTATTCTAATCTTTTTGCCATTTGCAAACATTTTCCTTGCTCTTTTTTGGTCCTTGCATCTACCTTATGTCAGATTATTCCATCTAATCCTTTACAGGTATGTGTCATAATTAACATTTTCCCTATTTGTACATTCAGGCTGACTCAGTAGTTTTCTCCTGCTAAGATGAGAGACACACCACATCCCTCCACTTCTGGTTTGGCCTCCCCGCTCCCCCTTTCATTGAATGACCTAGTATTTTAGTCTCACCCGAAAATTGATAGGTGGTGGTGGATTCTTAGGTTCTATTCTCACAACACTGGATTCTACCTTAGGTGGTGGTCTGAAGTTATTCTTCCCAACCTGTTAATCAGAAAATGTTTAGATAGCCCTCTCAAAAACCTTTAATAATCAAATGTGCTCTTACAGAAGGCATAGCTAGATAAGGATGAATTATGGCACATTATTTCAACAATGCTTACTTTCATTAGATGGTCCACACGTGCTAACAGCTGTGTGTTAATTGAAAGTCTGCAGTATAACTTATCTCCAGGTTTTGCAACCAGTCGGAGAGCAAATTCTCTTTGGAACATAAGTATAGCACATCTGAAAAGATCACCAGAGAGGAGTGAAAAAATAGTCACTTTCAACTATAAAAATATTTTAGCTTCAATGAATTTTCTTGGGTTGGAAATAGAGTAAAGCAGTATCTGTGGTTAATGGTCATTAGTTCAGCCTGTCAGAAGGTAGAAAACTTTGTTTTAGCTTTATTAACAGAAAATGATCCAGTTAGCTTTGTTTTTATTTTAAAATGGCTGCACCTCTAATCTAAGAAAGCTGGCTGGAATATAATCCCTCAATGATCAGATGAGAAATTATTTCAGATCAACACTAGTCCATCCACCCCTTCCAGGAAAATAAGACCAACACAAAATTGGCTCAGCAGTCAAACTGAATTCATAGGGTAGCAGACACCCTTATGGAAGAGCTGAGGCAGGAGAGAGAGAGATGCTAACACTCTGGGTCCTTGATTTAAAGGTATTTTTATTCAGCAAGCAATGGGGAGGCTTTTGGAGGCCCTTGAACAGAAGAACAGCTTCAAAGGTGGGCTTTGGCTTTCAAACTTTTTTTTTTGCTATGAGTCACACTAAGAAAAATATTTGGCATTGCAATCCAGGTCACAAACATCTGTGTGTGTGTGTGTGTGTGTGTGTGTGTGTGTAATGCAAACAAAAATTTCATATAACTACAATCACTTGGACCCCTTGGAATGAATGCTCTGATACAGTTGACACCATTAAAAAAAAAAAAATTGATGGTCCTGACTAAGGCATAAGAATAAAAAGTCTGACCAAGGCTATTGACATAAGGATTAGAAAATAGGAAAAGGCTATCTGATTTCAGAAGTAGGATGTATACACTATCTTCCCCAAGTAACTTTGTCAACTGAAAAATGAAATAAAGAGATCTACACACACACAATATTTTCTACAAAACAAATTCTCTTGTGTTATTTCAGCTGAATTACTCCCTCTGTATTTGCAGCCTGTACTGTCAATCTTTCTAAAATTTGGCAGTTTGTCTTTTGTCACAAACCTGAAAAAAGGTCGGTGCAGCAGCAACTTGAAGACAAAAGGAGAAGAAATCTGTAAGAGAATGAACTAGTTACATGTGGTAAAGACAGAGAAAACTTAGTATAATGTTCCCAACAATTTGAAAACATACCTGATAAGGCAAATTTGCCACACAAGCATCAAAGAATGGCAAATCTGTTTTCAACACGTCCCCCACCATTACTTGAAGTTTACTGGCCAGAGGCCTGATGAATAGGGGGAGAAAAAAAACAATTAAAAAAGAATACTCTCTTATGAGATTGAAATGAACTTTAATTCTATTATTTATACTCACGTGCCCTGAACTCTTTTGTGAAGTTCAGCTACTAGCCTTGGATCAAGTTCACAGGCAATTACCTAAAATTTTTTTTAAAAAGCTTTTTTTAGAGTAATTATGGAGTATAAATCTTTTTAACTCAATAGTAATTCTTAGATGACTTACGTGAATTAAATTTCCTTCCCCAATTCTACCATCAGTATTCCTTCAGTTATACTCTACCATTTCAAGTAAAAAACACCAAAGAGAAAAGTAGGCAATCAGACAGTGTGAGTCTTCTAGCTAAATGACAGACTCACCATGCTCACCGGCCCCATGCCTTCTAACCCAAGAAAGAACTATAGTATGTCTGTATAGTAAATGTTCTTAGAAGCAAATAAAACAATTCCTAGGATCTGTATTCTTCCATTTACTAAGATCTAAAATATAGTATAACTTGTCAAGTAAGTGAATAGGGATACCAGATAAGATTGAAATTATTATTTGAATTCAACATCTGCTGAGGTTTTACTGACTTCCAGGAAGACCATGTCTACACGTGCTGCTTATACTGCTGATTATACTGTCTGATTCACAAATCTTTTCTTTCTGCTGTGGAGGGTGATACAGTCCAGTTTCCTTGCTCTTCTACTTCTGGTTGGGATTGGCTAACCAGCATTCTAAGCTCAAGAGCAGAAGTTGGAGTATTTCCTAATACCTGACCCAAGCCTGGCAGAAGTTCTGGGGACCACTATGTTCTGCTATGAGTGGCTCCTGTTCAATGGATCCTACTGTTTTGGACTCTGGTAATACAGGTTCCCCACTTTGCCCCTTGAGGCCTTTTGGATGCTAATTGCTTCCTGCTGTTGCTTGATCCTGGATGCTTCATTAATGTTTACTGGTTTAAGCCCATCCCCACACTTCTGAAAATAGTATCATTCTTTTCAGATAATTCTTCAAAATGTGCTATCTACTTTCATTAGAGAGCATAAAGAAGATAAATCTGCTAGCAAAGACTCAAGAGTTGGTCCTCCCTGGTGGCGCAAGGGGTTAAGTCTCAGCATTATGAAGCAATCCTCAGCCACTACAGCCCGAGTTCGATCCCCGGGCAGCTGACCCACATGGCACACAGACCTCTCCTGTCTCACCAGCAGTTCCCCTCAGCAATGTATTTCAGTAGATCCACCTGTTCTGCTCCCCATTCTGTCCCTGGTGAATCCTCTCACCCCCACCTCTGGCCTACACCCCAGCTCTTGTATGCATAAATAAATCTTAAAAAGCAAAACAAAGACTCAAGAGTTACTGTTCAAATAACAGCAATTATTAAAATAGATTTGTATTTGTAAATCAGCTGAGTTTGCTCATATCACCATTTCTGATATCAAAAGACTAAATCCCCCTTTTACCTTTTTTGCCTTTTCTAGCAACTTTACAGTCATATTGCCAGTTCCTGGTCCAACTTCCAGCACCACATCAGATGGTCTTAAAGCAGCCTACAAATAAGCACAAATGCTTTAGTTTTTCTGGCACATCCGAACACATAATTTACACCTGAATATCTTTCCTCATAAGCACTGTTAGATCTTATTCTGGACCCATTTTTGTGACATTCCCGCATGATCTCATTAATACAAGTGGAAATCTAATCCCACTAGACCAGAGGCAAGAGTTCTGAATTAGAAAAACAGGAATACCAGTTCCTTCTGGATTGACATTCTGCTTTGTACATTGGAAATGATTCCAATAGCGTCTTATTACCAACACTGTTATTATCAACAACTTCAAACCAGATTGATTGTATATGATAATCTGGTATTTTACCAAGACTTCTCAGTTCATAACAAATGTATAGTTTCAGGGATGCAGGAGTACCCAGAAATGTGTACAAAACTGAGTGTTTGCATGCATACATTGCAATATTCTGAGCCCATAGTTTTCATCACATGCTCAAAAGAATCCAGAGACAAAAAGTTAAAAAAGCGAAACCAACCCTCATTTTGCAGATGACACTAAATTAAGTCTAGCTCCTTTAACTATGTAACACACACTGCACTCCAGGGTGCTTCCTTTATAACCATGAAAATAATCACTACTTATATTACATGTCCTAGTACACAATTATCCACAACAATAAGACAACATCAATAATCCGCAGAGGTGGAATACTCTAAAGAGTGATTTATGGCACTCCAAAGAGTTCATAATTATCATTTACATTTCTCTGGGGGAACAAACTTCCTAAGGTGTGGTATAGACCTAGGTTTAGGCTTTGAAGTAAATGAACAGTTCTAAATGGTACCTACAAAAAGTGATTAGAAACAAAAGAATCTTTAACAAGTACAGATACACTGCTATGAAGTAAATAATCAACAAACAGAATCTGAAGCAAGGTGAAACCCACACATGCAAAATGAAGCAAATGTGTCAAAGACAACTGAATCCTAGACAAATTAATTAATTCAACAAGCACTAATAGAGTATTTGTTTTGTTCCCAGCATCCACTTTGTGCTAAATGCATCAGCCCCACTCCCCCATCCCAAGTTTCAATTATCTTCAGTTCCAAAACATTCCTGGACAGTAAGGTACCTTGAAAGAGATCACATTCATGCAACTTTTATTACAGTATAGTTTTAATTAAATTTTATTATGTTTAATCTTACTGTATCTAATTTATCAATTAAAGTGTTTCATAAGTATGTATATAGCGGGAAAAACAGTATATCTAGGGTTTGGTACTATCTGGCTGTGTCAGGCATCCACAGGCTCTTGGAACATACCCCAGTGGATGAGTGGTGACTACTCTATTCCTAGGGGAAAAAAAAATCAAACCAACAACTCTCTCCCTTTCCTCTTCCATACCCACCTTATCGATAATGCTGTTAACAATGAGAGGATTTTTCAAAATGTGTTGCCCAATACCCGTGTTGAACGTGAGTCCTGGAAGAAAACAGAAAACGGCCTTAAATTTGCAACTAAAATTAGATATTAGTCCCAGAGTAGAAAACAGAATGGATGGAGGAATATTTCAGCGCCCAGCCACCAAACGTCATGCTTGGAGCCGGGACTGACACCTGCGTTAAGTCACCCCTTCTGCTGGAACGGCAGCCAGGGGCAGCGTGCAGGGCCAGTGGCCGGCGCTCCGGCAGCGCTGCGACTAATTGGCCCTCGCAGCGCGGGCCCTAGCCGGCCTCACTGCCCCGGCCCGTATCTCTGTCGGAGCTAGAGGACCGCACACCCAAAGAAAGCCCAGCCCTCTCCCGTCAGCCCGCACCTCCGGCGCTCTTCAACTCTCCGCGCTGTTTCAAGCGTTCACGGCGGAGGCCGCTCGCCCCCGACTTGATCTTCGGCATCTCTGCAGGCTGCGGGCCCACAGACCTGGGAAGTCCGGAAGATGCAAAGGCAACTATCCCAGTCACCGCACCACGTGGGGATAGTGGCCCCAGCAATGCGCGTCACTCCTGACGTAAGGGGAGGGGCGAGGACACGCCCGCAAGTTAACTCTAGACTCCGCCCTTAGCAAAGGGTCCTCCCTTGGACGCACTGGCCTCTGGGAATTGTAGTCTCGAGCTGGAGGAAAGCCTAAGTTACCCGGAGACTAGAGATCCCGGAAGAGAGCGCTATCAATTCGCAGTTTAGATCGGTTACTGTAGTGCTGGGCATGTCAGCTCAGTCCCTGGATCCGGTTGTGTAAACTGCAGTGCGGTTCCAAATTATAAAATGCGTTAGCCCTGTGAATGCTTTTTGAGGCCAGTTCCGTGAATGTCTGAAATCCAAAACCCGGTTTCTTTATGCCATGTGCCTCGCTTTGGTTTCCCAGTAGATCTGGGGTGGTAAATCAGGATCTTGGGATGAAAACTTGTTCCTTTGTGGGAGTGGATTTTCTGCCTGCGTTTTAGAAAGGAATTCTGAGAAAGTAAAAGAAAAAAAAATTCTTCAGTTCCACTAAGGCTGCTACTGGCTTTGCTTTCTTTTCTGTCACGTCTTTCATTTTTTAGATAGTTATTGATTGAGTTCCATTGCATGTTAAATGGCAGGGTGTTGGAATTTAGAGTTACATAGGAACTTGCTCACCTCAAAGTTTGTTCCATTGAGATAGGCCAAAAGCCCCAAACGCAGCAAATAGGTATGTATTAGGTATTGTGATAGGAAAATGTATTCGACTGTTAATTCCAGGAGTACGTGTTCCATGTCTGTTCTGCCTGCCAGTGTACTGGATGTTCTCAATTTTTTGTGTGTACCCTATTACCAAAATGGACTATTCCTGGTGCAATTAATTGTGTGCATCGTGAGCCTTGTTATTTCTTTGCGGCAGAGAAACTCCGCCGCAACTCGGGGAAAAACTGACACCCTAGGAACATCTTCAATAAATCATTAATTTTTTCCACAATTCTGGAGAATTTAGAGTGCCAGGCGTTGTGTCAAATGTTAGGAATAAAAAAGATAAACATGAAAAAGAACTTTAAAGAGAAGGATATTTAAATAAAAGGATTGTTTAAATAAAAACAATAATAACAGTATTTGGGGATTTCTTATGTGCCAAGAATTTTACGTGTATTATCTCATTCGACCTATGTAAAAAATTACTGAAAATAGGGCCTCCCTGGTGATGCAGGAGTTAAATTCTCAGCACTGTCAAGCAATCTCCAGCCATTGCAGAGTTCTAGCCCAGCCAGGGAGCTGACCCACATTGCACAGGAGACCACCTCTCCTGTCTCGCTTGCTGCTCCCCTTAACAGTGTATTTCAGTAGATCTGCCTGTTCTGCTCCCCATTCTGCTCTGGTGAATCCTCTCCCTACCACCACCCCACACCTCTGGCCTACACACCAGTTCTTGTATGCATAAATAAATAAAAATAAGTCTTTAGGTGGCCTCCCTGGTGGCACAAGGGACCAAGTCTCAGCACTATGAAGCTATCAGCAGCCACTGCAGTGCAGCAATGAGTTCAATCCCTGGCCAGGGAGCTGACCCACAGGGGACAGCTGACTTCTGTCTCACCCTCTGCTTCCCTTAGCGGTGTATTTCAGTCAGTCTGCCTGTTCTACTCCCCACTCTGTCTCTGGTGAATCCGCTGACCCCCCTGCACCTCTGGCCTACACCCCAGTTCTTGTATGCATAAATAAATAAACCTTTAAAAAATAAATCTTTCAAAAAATTAAATTCATTCAAATTTTATTTGCCTTTTTTTCTCCTAAGAAACTGAGAATATGAAAATATAGCAATTAAATGAAGTAATATCAGCGGTACCTTTTTATTTACCAGCGGTACCTTTTTATTTTGTACACAACATGTCACTAGTGTGTGCTTTCATGTGGCTGAAACTAGGACCTCCAGTTATATTTTAATTTGGTGTCCTGAAATTCTAGGTTAAAATTTGTATATGTGTATTTTTTCCTAAGTTTTAGCTTTCCTTAGCTTCCCAAAGGCCTATTATCCCAAAGAGAAAGTTTCTTCATTTTAATTCGTTAGGTAATTTTTTTTTTTTTAAAGAGGCATGTATTTATTTATTTATTTGTTTGTTTGTTTATACATTCACTGGGCACAGTCAGAAGCGTGTGAGGGTGAGAGAATTCACCAGAGCCAGAGCAGGGAGAGCAGAGCAGGCAGAAGGACCGAAGCACACTGCTAAGGGGAGCAGTGGGAGGCAGGAGAGGTCTGCGTGCCATGTGGGACTCTCCTTCGGTGGCTGGGGAGCAGCCGGGGATCGAACCGGCGCCTCAGAGGCCGCGAGCAGCTTCGCAACCCAGTGCTCAATCGCTGCGCCACCAGGGAGGCCCTCGTTAGGTAATTTTTTTCCTTTATTGCTTATTCCTAATAATCTTGTTACTCAACATGTTACCTGTGGACTAGTAGCACTGGCATTAACTAGAAACTTATTAGAACTTGAGAATCCACCTCTTCTGCTCCCCACTCAGTCTGTAGTGAATCCTTTCACCAGCAACCCCCTGCACCTCTGACCTACACCCAGTTCTTCTATGTATAAATAAATAAATCTTAAAAAAAAAAGAACTTAAGAATTTTAGAGCAACTGAATCAAGATCTGTATTTTAAGAAAATCTCCGTGTGATTCTATGCATACTTAAAATTTGAGAAATTGGGCCTTCCTGGTGGCTCAAGGGGTTAAACACAACCTATGAAGCTATCTGCAGCCTCTGCAGCACGAGTTCCATCCCCACTCAGGGAGCATCCCACATGGTGCAGCAGACCTCTCTTGTCTGCTTCCTGCTCCCCTCAGCAGTGTATTTCAGTCAGTCTGCCTGTTCTGTTCCCCACTCTGTCTCTGGTAGAATCCTCTCACTCTCCACACCTCTGGCCTATACCCCAGTTCTTGTATGCATAAATAATTAAATCTTAAAAAAAATGCTTGAAGCCAAAAATTTGAGAAACATTACTTTCCAGTAAAATCAGAAGGCATAGTCAAGCAAAACAAAACAAACAAACAAACAAAAAAAAAACGCAGACAAAAAACCCAACCCATAATACCACACAGCTAATGACAAATTTGTTAATATTTTGGCATGTATTTCTTTCTAAAAATGGGGCCATACTGAACTTAATTCTGAAACTCACTCTTGTCCCAAGTCATTGGATATGTTGACATGGCAACAAAATAACCCCCCCCCCCAGTTTTATTGAGAAGGAATTCACATTGCTGTATAAGTTTAAGGTGTGCTGTATGATGATTTCATTTACATATCAACATGATTTTTGATGAATAATTTGTATTTTATATTTTGTTATATACGGACACATCATGACTTGGTCATTTTTTTTTCCCCAAAGATTTATTTATTTATGCAAGTCCTGGGGTACAGGCCAGAGGCGCGGAAGGGTGAGAGAATTCACTAGAGACAGAGCAGGGAGCAGAACAGCAGAAGGACCGAAGAACACTGCTGAGGGGAGCCGCGGGCAAGACAGGAGAGGTCCGCCGGGGATCGAACCCGCGCTGCAGAGGCTTCGGACAGCTTTACAGCACTGTGCTCAACCTGCTGCGCCACCCAGGAGGCCCGGTCATTCTTTTTTTGTGGTCAATTAGGTAATTTTCAAATTTTTACTTTTAAAAACAGCCCTTGTGTGATGAATGGCCTTGTAATGCAGGGTTTACGATGATCTGGTTCAACCCTAACACTGCAGCTTACCAGTTGTGTGACCTTAAGCAGATTACTTGACTTCTGTGTGAATCAGTTTCTTCCACTGTAAAATCGGAAAAAGAAAAGCGCCCTGTAGTTTGTGTTTAGGATGATAATGCATCATTCATGTAAGATCTTAAAACTATATCTCACACATTCTGAAGGCTCAATAAATATGCATTATTGATCTTTATGAACACGCACGTTATCACCTGACTTCTCTTTCTAGAGCTAAGAAAACTTGGGTCACTAGTTAGCTAGTAGCAGAGGCAGGGAGAACTGGAGTTCCTTTTCCGTCTTCCCACCCTTGCTACTGTCCTTGCTTGAGCTCCCGCAAGTTTAAGACCTTAAAAAAATAAGCATTCTTGGGCGCGTTACCGGTAATGGGTGTAGGGTTATTTTAAGAACTTTTCGCTGTGAGACGAACATGTAAGACAATGCAGTTTAATAGTTACTATCTAGAGTAGGAAGGGAAATGGTTCCATACAATCTTCAGTCGAGCCAGGAGACTATTGATTTTCCCGCGAGTGGGCCTACGCGTTTCCATGGTTACAGATCGCGCCGAGTTGGGGCTCCCTGCACCTCACAAAGCGCAAGCGCACGCCGCAGAGCTAGCCGCCCAGCGCCTTTCGTTTCAAAGAGAAAACCCCTCCCGTTTCCTCCGTCTGTTTCCCTATCGCCCTCTCTCTTTGCCTTTTACATGCGCTTTGGGTGTTGGTGACGTCATATTCGCGCGTCTGTGTCGTTTCGAACCGCGACATTGAACATGGCGCGTTCCTAGAAGCCGCTTTCGGCATCAGTAGGCGGCGGCGTGTGGACTGGAAGCGTGGGGCGCGGGACCAACCGACGCCGCTTGGTGTTGGGGAGTGGAAGCGGGAGAACCGGGCCATTCCGGAACGAACCAAACGGTGAGGCTCCGGCCTGAGAACCGCAAAGCGCGCGCGAATAGAAGGGAGGAGTGGGTTGGACAGTGGAGAACCGAAAAGCTAGAGGGGAACGTGGGACTACTGGTAGATTAGAGATAGGAGTAGCGCGGCGAGGGCGGCCTGCAGGCTCCCTCTGCATAATCCTAGGAACCTCTGGGAGCTGGCCGAGTCAGCCCGGGAGAGAGAAAGCTGGTGGCGAAGGATTCAGGGTGTGGGGAGTTAGAGACTGGGTACCAAAATGAGGAAAGGGTAGGGTGCCCATTGTGGCTGAGATTGCGGGCCAGGGTGGTGCCTTTGCCCTTGGGGATAGGTGGTGCAAATTTGAGTGAACGTGATCATCTTAAGTACAAAACCACGGTACATTGTTATTACACACACGACTCTGCTTGCTAATAGCAATA